GACTTTTTAAAACTGTTACTCGACCTAGTTTAAGGTTATTTAAAATCAAGAATTCTGAAAGAAGTTGAGGTGAAAGTTAGATTTCTAGAATTTCAGACAAAATTCTTCTGATGAACAAAATACAAGTCATTCACAATTGCTTTCCTTTTAAAATACGATTCTGTGTGAAAAGAAATGTATAGAATGTACCCGGAAAGGGTAATAGCGCGTTCGTTCCCCATCGCAGACACCTGCGGTCTGGAGCTTTGCAAATATCTCAGCATTATAGCGGTTGCAAAGAACACGTTTCGTCAGCTTCAAAAAATCAGAATTTCGTCTTGTTAGGATAATAGATCTTGCATATCAGTGCTGAGAACCCATAGATTTTAACGCTTTCTATTACGATTAGTAAAATTCACTTTAAAGTTGTAATTAAGTTGAAAGCGACGCTTGCTTTCGCATCGTTTGAGTGGAAATGAGCTCATGTCGGTCCCTAAGTGTTAAAAGAGAAAGGAGAAGAGAGATTATAGTTGAGTCGCACAGCTGTGAGCTGTGAAATATCTACTGCAGTATTCTAAAACCATGTTCTAAACATCTTGTCTCAGGCAAGTAAAATTAAATGAAATTTGTTGCTGCGCATGTTGAAGCCACACTGCGTTTGTGCAACTGTCGCAGAATCATCATCACTCTTTTTTTTCAAAATTTTTAGAAATTGTCCCCTAGAAAATTCGAAAAGTTTCATTCTTGTGGTAGGTGGGCAATTCCATTTATCCCTCAAGGCTTCTGTGCTAACTCGATGTTTTCCTTCAATAAGCAGACACGAGGTTGTTATTATTCAATTTATTAGGATACAATAGCTGACGTTTGGGCGGTTTCGCCTTCTTCAGAGTCTGGAAAGGCTTAATTGAGATGCGATCTACTCAACCAAACACTTTCATAACCCTAGCAGATAAAACTTAACAAATAAATTTGAGAGACGTGCGAAACAAAGGACCCGCATGGTGTGGTGGTGAACGCGTTACTCCCCGGAAAGGATAATAGCGCGTTCGTTCCCCACCATAGACACCTGCGGTCCAGAGTTTTGCAAATATCTCAGCAACGTTGTGGTTGTATTTCGCTTAGTAACCTGCCATGAAAATTATAGAAGGCAGAAAACAAAACGTTAAACATTGTGATTTCAACTACAGCCATAGCTTAACTGGGTTCTATGCCGATTTGAGCTCCCCAGATCAACCCCGCTGACGGGTGATTGCTGTGGCAAAAAGATCGATAGAAATAGCTGAGAGACGTGCGAAACAAAGGACCCGCATGGTGTGGTGGTGAACGCGTTACTCCCCGGAAAGGATAATAGCGCGTTCGTTCCCCACCATAGACACCTGCGGTCCAGAGTTTTGCAAATATCTCAGCAACGTTGTGGTTGTATTTCGCTTAGTAACCTGCCATGAAAATTATAGAAGGCAGAAAACAAAACGTTAAACATTGTAAATAAATTTGTATTCGCATAAGAAACATCTTCATTTAAACACCAACCGTTTATTTGTTGTAAGTATTTAAGTTAGTTGGTGGATAACAGCCGCACAGAGTAATACATGGGCGTGGACTGTGCCTATGTCAGGTCATTGAATCGGCCTGAGGTATGGCGCCAGGTCACGCGTGATAACAAGACACTCCTCATTGAGGTCATTTTTGGTAATCCAAGACGCTTCAACAGTTTTACGCGCTGATGTCCTTGATTCCTGTGCAAGGATTGTGACTTCTATTTCAGAATCTTTTCCGTTACGTTTCTCTGCTCTGTGTGCCTAGTGGAGTGTTTGGTTTTAATTTAGATTTACCTACTAAGTGTTCTTTTAAGCGGAGCAGAGCGGTCTACCCGTTTCGCCAACGTATTCGTCCCCGCACGCTCTACAAGAGATCAGATAAACTGTACCCGAACTCATGCAATCATCGTCTCTACCGTTAGATCAAATTATGCAGTTTATCATGCTTCACAGACAGTCAAATAGGCGGTTGCAAACTAGCTGACGTCTTAAAGTGTTTGGTGGTATTTCTCTCATTCTTACTGAATTATCTAGGCCGGCCCTTCTCAAACAACGTTTTATAGTTGAACTAACTTCGTTCTAAATAAAGGGAAAGAGGAGGTGACCTTGTTTTTCGCTAAAATTATTACTTCGAGGAGTGGCTTTTCCTCCGCGTCTATCCCAAGGAGATACAGTTTCGTAGCCATTCGAAATGCCGAGCCAGTGCTGCTATCTTTCCAGAAGTCTGGTACCAGTTTACCGACCACAGAGCGATGGAAGGCTTGATGGACCATGGGCGAAGGGATGGATTCACGTGTGTGTTGCAGGACGTCTACGACCACTTTGCCAAACGCGCCCTTCGCTTTCGGTACCATTTTGTAATGTACCCCTTTTCCGATAGGCGAATTTGAGCGTTCAGAAATGGAAGCTAGTTTTTTTTCGGTTTTCCTCCGGTGAATACTTGACAATAACTCAATAGATTTCTCCATTCTCTCTTGTGTGGAGCAGATGACAAGATAATCATCTGTATACCTAGAATAGAGCACTGCCTCTAGATCGATTACTGGTGCCTCTACTATTGACTCAAATGTAATGGCAACAGTTGGTGCCAGTTGTTGTCCCCATTGCCAACCCTCTAATTTGTGCGTAATATTTCCGGACCATCAGAAGATCGAGCAGTTTAGGCACACCTTTAGGAAGACTATGAGCTGCTGAGTCGAGAAGTTATACATATTTATTACACTTCCGTGTTGTACAAGAAGCTCGCGGATGACTTGCATTGCGGAGTCATTCGACACATTAGTATGGAGGACGGTAATTGTCAAGGGACTCCATCATACACGCACTGTTATGATGCGCATTACGCAGTGGATCCAACAACTCTTGAGTACTAGTATGGTGGGATGGTGTGTTTTTCAGCAAATGGATGAGAATTCAGATTATAAACCAAGCTCTTCTATCGATGGGTCTCTCTACACAACTCATGGCGGGTCTAACTTAAAAGGTTCAGGGGTCGGTAGACGTAAGGTCACTAGAGAATACAAAATTATGAGTTTTGATAAGCAAGTATAAGACCGAACATGTTGCCACTTCAATCGTAAGATGCGAAACATCTAGTGGTGTTAAACCTGCTGCGCTTGCCACTTTGACCCATTCGTTGACCACTTTTCGATGTTAAGCTTTGAATTTCCTTTCATTTGTTGCGCGATAAAGCGAAATGTCTTCAAGTTGCTTTTGCGTTATTTCAAACATGCTTCACGATATGGCAGTTGACGACACTCTTCAAGAAGTGTCTAGGCTGTTCAATCTTCCGATGGTCCAGCAAGTATTACGCTCATACGAGAGCGTTGGAAATAGGACAAAGACTGACACCAAGCCTTGCCAGTGCGTTTACGTCTAGGTTGAAGACACCAGTAATAGATGACTGCTTTGTCATTTGTTCAACACAAGGGAAAATGGACAAATGTTTTGTGTTATAGAATGAGCATTCAAAGTGCAATTTCTCCGACAGAAACCGAAAGAAAACTGGCTTCTATTTCCTAATGTTCAAATTAACCTATCCAAAAACGGCTACATTACGAAATTGTAAGGAAGGCTAAATAGGAAAAACATACTCGTTCATTACCTTTCCTCTCACCCCTCACACACAAATATGGCTCTTTAAGAAACATATTTCGAACAGCAACCAGCGTGTGCACAGAAAGAGAGTGGAGAGAGTAGTCCCGGAACTTGACGCGGCAAATAGCCATTTCTAACGGCTACGAAACTGTAGCTCAGGATAGGTGTACGGGAAAGCCCAAGCCTCCAAACGATAACTCTAGCGATAATAAGGTCTCGTTTATCTTCCCCTTTATTTCAAACGAAATAAATGCAGCTGCACGACGTTGCTTAAGATGGAGCTGTCTAGAGAATTCGGTAACAGTAATCGAAATACTGAGCACTCTAAGATGCCAGCTCCTTCGCGACCGCGTATATGAAGGTCTATGCATAAAGAAAAATTGTATAATGCGCCCTAACGATGGAGCCTGCGGCTGCATGAGTTCGGATGCGGTTTACTTGTAGAGCGTGCGGGGACGGCAAGATTGGCGAAATGGATGTACCCTTGTAAATAAACACCCAAATCGTGAACTTAAAGTGAAACCAAAAGCTGCACTTTGTATGCATGGAACAGAGAGATGTAACGGGAAAGATTTTGAAGCAGAAGTTACGATCCTTGCACGGAAATTGGGAACAACAGCGCGCAAAATTCTTCAGGCATTCTGGATAAATTTTAAGAATCCGCAAATGAACCGCAAGGCGGAAGGCCTCGTAATCAAGCGTAATGTCGCACAGTATTTAAGACCATTATTTTAGTGTGAGAAGCACATTACGCTTCCATGTGAACTCTGCATAGTTGGTCTCTACATGACATACTCGTTGGAAGACTTATAGAAGGTGGCAGTTGTACTAGAAAGTGATTTTGTTTTCAACGCGATTGAAATCTTGATTCGGCAACTCTCTATTTAATAATGGAGGTGTTTGGTTAGCTAGATTGTAGTCAACTTGATCCTTCCTGGTTCTGAGGAGGGCGAAATCCGCCAAAACGTTAGCTTTAAAGCGATAAAGGAATGAAGTAACACCCGCGTTTGCTCAACAGAAATAGGAAAAATTATTTGATCATTTCCGAAGTTAATAGAAACTCGGTGGTGGAGATCTTCTGCGTATTATGCTTTATGATTTGGAGGATAGGTGCTTCATCCAAAAAAGAAATCACAGAGGTAACTCTGTAAAGTAGGTATTTCCCAGAAACGCCGGAGCGCTTTCCGGTTGCCGTAGAGGAGTGTGATTAAAGCGTGGCTGTTGCCATGGCTATCAGTTGTGTAACTATCATATTCAGTTATGACTCGATTATCTCGATGAATTTTGCCTTTGAACCGCTACTCTCACCTCAAATGCCTCCTTATGAATAATGAGCTACCAGCGGACATCCGACGAATCATCGCTGCTCAGACGAGCAACAATCTGCCAACGCTGGGCTCTTTGCCCGTACTGCCGAAAATCGGGGCTTCATCTGCTAAAAAATCTGCTAATGAATTTCACTCAGTCGCGACGGCGAGTTTCGACAAAGTCATCGATGAAGGATCTGCTCAGGAAGCTGGACGATCTTGGTCGATTGAACACGGCGGGGTTAAGAACAAATTCAAAAGCAACTACCCCTTTGATTTTAAGCCCGAAAAAGTAGGCCCGACCCACTCGACGGCGCATAGTCATCGTGGAAACGTTCTGAGCGCTTGCAGTCTCTCCAGGCCTGACGACTTCGCTCGCGCATTTGTTATTCGCAAGAAACCTCCGTTGCCACCTATTAATCCCATATCCCGGCTCGATCTCTCACTTGCTACAATTCCGGCTTCATTACCAACGGGTAAGAGATTTCTTCGCTGTTATCAGAAAGGACGGATAACTTTGAATAGATAATTATCCATTTTTGAAAAAATAATTCTATAACTTTAGAACATTGTATTCATTAAAACAATGGAATCATTTGTGCATAAAACATCGATCCGCTGCTGATTACTCATTTAGTTCAAATAAAGACGGTTTCAAAAAGTGAGGTGACAAATTTAGCTTCAGGCGTTAGTGAATCGTTCGGTACGTGTTTTCGAACATCCTGGCATTCCCAACAGTTTGAAGGCACAAAAAGTGCTGAATGAATCCCAAACCTTCGACGTTAATGCTGTTTCTACGTTGCTTTGCAATTCATTGTTAAGTCCATCACTGCTTAGATATCCACAATTCCTTCAATAGTTGTAGAGGAGGTATTTCTTACAGTGTTTTTAGATATCGCCGGCCTTCAAAATGCCGTTGACAATCTGAGCGATAAGTGGGTGCAGAGCATCTTGGACGCTTGCAGGTACTGTACGTCCACAGCACGGTATTTTTCACTGGCTCAGTGATACTCCTTAGAGTTTAGATTGTACGACCATGAACTAAGAAGATATCTCTGCGTTCCCTCGCTAATAAAGTGCTTTGGAGAGGTTGTTCCAAGTGTGAGTTCTCTTCATTTTTTTGTTACTAATGCTTTCGGAAATAGTATAGTACACTCATTTGTATATGATATTAAGGTTCACTCACCATCCTCACCATGGCGTAAGTTTCTGCAACAATTGGCTCCTCGAGGAGAGTTCATCGAATACGAAAAAGTACTTGAACTCATTTCTAAGTCGAAGAAAACCGAAGAGGTTAGAGAAACGATGTGAGTAGTAATAGGGCATGCCTGATAAAGATCTCTTAATTATTCCATTTTTTCATGACCGACTTTCTTTTAACCTCGGCAATGATTGATAGTTCGATGTTTTTCTTCAATAAGTAGACACGAGGTTGTTATTATACGATTTATTAGGATGCAATAGCTGATGTTTCGGCGGTTTCGCCTTCTTCAGAGCCCACTATTCTCCTCCAAAGAGATTCCTCCAAATACTGCATTCAGTATCGTGTCTGCTTATTGAAGAAAAACATCGAAGTATTTCATTTTCTTTCGTTACTTTTCATGCAACAAAAAAAACCACTTTACAATTGAATTCAGTCCAGAGCTGCTAAATCCGAGAAATGTAGATGAAGTTTCTGAGCTGTTCGTACCCAGCACAACTCAGGAAACACGTGAAAAATGCCGAGCCCAGGTATACAAATCAACTCAAGATCTTACAAACTAAGCAATCACGATTTTGACTTTTTTATTTACTGCAGTTTTACAAATTTTCACGCCAGGGTATTATTTGTGAAAGAACCACAAGAGTGTAGAGATATTTGCAAAACTCTGGATCGCATGTGTTTGCGGTGGGGAACGAACGTGCTAGTACTCTTTCCGGAGGTTAACGCATTCACCACCACACTATTCGCGTCCTTCGTTTCAACTGTCTCTCAGCTTGTAAAGTCATCGCATTTAGATCTGTTCACGGTATATCTAGAAGGAAAATGAGTACGTGTGGTAAAATCACAATTGTGATGAGATATTTTCGTTACCACGAATCCCAGATGAACTTCGAACCCGCGACAAACCTTTCCGGGGGTTGACGTGTTATCACACTGCACCACCGAGTCCATGCTTTGCCTTTCTCTCAACAACTCAGTGAAGATGAAGCAGAAGAAACTCAAAAAACGTCCAGATTTCAGCTTCACTCTGGTTGTACTTCACATAGTACCCTAGGACAAAAAATTAATAGATTGTGAGTAAAAGTTAAATAGTCATCGGGTTATTTTTGTTCCACTTTCGCCATAAGAACAATGTGAAGGAAACCGAAGTACTATTCCTTTAAAACAATTTTTTAAAAAAAACACTATTTTACGCAAAATCCATTCGTTGCTGACGGTGGATGTTGGGCGTAACGAGAATAGAAGGCAAGTTGAGTATATCCTTAGAAGGTTATCTGTGCAAGAAGAAAATGTAACAAAAACCAGTAGGCCATACTTGTTTTATTAATAGTGATGACACATCGAAACCAAGTCATTGACAGGTGATGATGGAAATTGAAGACCTTCTGAAGCGAAATCCGGGATTGAGTTTAGAGCGCTTGAAGAACGCCACAACACAAAAGGTTTGTTACCAATAGTCATAATCGACTGGGATCATATGCGGTTCATAAAAGGAATGTGTCTTTTACATGCTTGATTCATATATAATCCGACTTACACTGTACTGATCAATAAGGACTTGATACGTTTGGGTAGAAGCCTGAGATCATTTTTTAGGTGATGCAAAATCTCTTTATCCTTTTGCTATGTTAAGCTTTTGTCTCGTGTGTGGCGCAGTGGTAGGTGGAGCCCTGCAACACACACGTGGAATCGATCTCTGGACCCATGGCCCACCAAGCCTACCATCCCTCTGGGTCAGCAAATTGGTACCAGACTTGTCTGGGAGGATAGCAGTACTGGCTCGATACATCGGTAGGCCACCGCGAGTCATTGTAAAGGTCAGGTATACATTCAATCACCTCCAAACGACGCTTAATTAACTCGAATGAATGACACATCCCTCAGGGATTGATCAACTCTGAGAACTTTATTCTTGTTTTAAGTTTTTGTCTGAAGCTCATAAAAAGCCAGCATATCATTTGATGGCCGCCTGGCTAACAAAGTCTCCTTTATTGAGCATTTGAATCTCGCAAATATTTCTCATTTGAAATCAAACGAAATGCTTTAATTTAATAGAGGTCTTGGTACTGACTTCATTATTACAATAATTAACTGTTCTATCGATTTTGATTCATCAAATTGGAAACGGCTTTCTCGACTTTTCTGGAAATCGTCGACATTTCGACGGGTATCTGGTTGCTCTCCACTAAAATTCACCATGCAGTTGCAAGAAAATCCTGGTATCGGAGGCTCAATCTTTGATGATGCTTCGTGTTCTGAAGATCTTCGAGCATTTCGGGTGCTATAGGAAGGCGAAATGACACATGCCGACGGCAGTTCATCACTAGAGTCAATCGGACAAAATCAAAGACGGTCTTTGGTTTTTCTTCAGCTTTGCACTGAATGTGCTTTGTTCTGGGCCTCTTCACATTCTATTTAAAACCAAACTAAAGGTCATCAACGCCTTACATGTTTTGCGAGAGAACTTTGAAAAAGAAATTTGAGCGTGAATTTTTTTGATCAGATTTATCACTAGAAGCAGAAAAAGTAGAAATAACCAGTGGAGGAAAAACAACATGGGCAGTGACTGGGCTTCTCGAAAAAGCCCACAACAAATCGACCAGTTAACGGATGCATCAATCTAGGCTTCTAGGCTCACATGCTCCATTCAAGGGTTTTCCTAGCACTAACTTACGGAGCGGAAGAAAATAACGCCCTCTAAACTTTAATCGGCACCTACAAGATATAGCTCGATTACCAAGTCCATATCTTCCAAGTCGATCCTACCTTCGAGATCCAAGAGTTTGCACATCAATGGCGAAACATAGATTGGCTGCTCATATAAAAAGAAAAACAGATGACAGATGAGCGAAAGAAAACAATGGAGTAGAGTCCAAGAAAATGCAAACTTTCTCTGGAACGATCACCTTACAGGATGGGGGAATGTGCTTGTGGCTAGAACCAACCAGCTGTACTCGCAATTGTCGAGGCTTTACAGATCGCGGTATGAGTCGCATGCAGCACCATGCTCAAAGAACGTCACCACCATGGACGACGATTGCATGACAAAGAAACGAATGGGAAGTATGCTGGGCTCACTGCTCGTGTGGACGTGCTGTCCAAGTTATGTGAGGGAAATATGAGGTTCCGAGTTTTGCAAATTTCTCAGCATCTTTGTAGTTGTATTTCACATAATACGTTCCCATGAAAAAAGAATAGGCAGTGGATAAAAGTTAACACTCAAGCGAGGAAAATTTATCTTATTTCTGAATTCAGTCCATATAACCACAACGTTGCTGAGATATTTGCAAAACTCTGGACCGCAGGTGTCTATGGTGGGGAACGAACGCGCTATTGTCCTTTCCGGGGAGTAACGCGTTCACCACCACACCATGCGGGTCCTTTGTTTCGCACGTCTCTCAGCTATTTCTATCGATCTCTTTGCCACAGCAATCACCCGTCAGCGGGGGCATAGAACCCAGTTGCCGATTCGCGCTCCCCAGATCAACCCCGCTGACGGGTGATTGCTGTGGCAAAGAGATCGATAGAAATAGCTGAGAGACGTGCGAAACAAAGGACCCGCATGGTGTGGTGGTGAACGCGTTACTCCCCGGAAAGGACAATAGCGCGTTCGTTCCCCACCATAGACACCTGCGGTCCAGAGTTTTGCAAATATCTCAGCAACGTTGTGGTTGTATTTCGCTTACTTAGTAACCTGCCATGAAAATTATAGAAGGCAGAAAACAAAACGTTAAACATTGTGATTTCAGTCCATATATTTCGATTGTTCAAGAAGAGTTTTTTTTTCATAAAAGCTCCTTATTTGGCAGCTTCGGCTTTTTCCTAGCGCCTTTCAAATCAGGTGTTAGACGCAAAAATTTGTTGGAGAACCAATCTTTCGCAATGGAGATCAGCTGGACTGTAGGATGCACTGGTTGATCGCACAACATCACAATGTGGGGCATGCTGAGCCGGACTATCATAACTCGGTGTTATTGCCTGTTTACCCGATGAACTCCTTTGTTGCGATTTTTGTCGAGCATGTGGGACTCTGGATGGGCCGTAACTGTTTTCCTACAGGACTTTGTTCTCTCCGTGTTGACCATATGTTGTAGTCGGCCCATTTAAGTAGTTTATCATCCCCGCCACAATTTGCGAAATTGATGTCACGTAGTCAAATCGTAATGTCTTCGATTGAATTCCACTTCATGTCTCCAAAAAAATTCTATAGGTGTAACAAGAAACGAACTAACCTTTTCATCACTAGTACTGTTTATAAAAAAGAACATTTAGCAGTAATGTTTTCTAAACGCAATGAAACCCTTAATCATTTAAAAAATACGATGATATGTAGCTTAACCTAATTTATTCCCTAGGGTGTAGTAATATAAAAAGGTGAAGGAAATAGAAAATCGTTGTGCATCCTTGATGCACTGCTCTATTGAACTTAATAATGTTCTAACTTTTCGCTCTTTTCATTTTTCTATTTTTTCTCACTTTTTTATGAAGGGAGCGCGTGGAGCAGTGGTCGGAGGCGCCATGCATCACACACGTAGGTCCCTGGATCCATGGCCCACCAAGCCCTCCATCCCTCCGAAGTCGGCAAATTGGTGCCAGACTTGTCTGGGAGGGTAGCAGCACTAGCTCGTTACATCGCTAGACCACCGCGAGTCATTGTAAAGGACAGATATGCATTCAATCACCTCCAACGATATTTACTGAAGTCGAATGCATGGCGCATGCCTCAGCTATTGATCAACGCCGCTTGCTTTATCCTTTTTACTGTTAGTTTTTATTAGATACATGTATATGACTAAGTGACTAGTGGAAGAAATTTATTATTGTACTGATAGAGCCTATTTCAACACATTCAAAACTATGCACATCGATTTCAATGCAATTGCTTCGGAAAACAGTTGTGCCTTTTAACTTAAGCTGAGTATATCTCAGTACATAATAGTCTTTATCTATTAAGATGGAACTTCCTTAGATTGTTAAGCCTTCACAAGGTTGCTACACAGCTTTTATTCGGCTAACGTTTCGATGTGTGCGTCTTCATCAGAGCCGACGATCCGAATCGATGATCCACAGTCGTTCTTCTCGATTTTGGTATCTTCGTCGTATCTTCGTCGTATCTTCTTCCCTGGAGAGCCGCTCGAATAACAACCTCATCCGGCAGCGCTCTTTTATAAAGGATGGTTGTTGTTGTTGGCAGTGGTTTTCCGGTGTTAATAATTTGTCTTTCAACAGAGTGATATTCTGCAGCAGTCGGTGTTATTTAGATATGCCGCCACAACCAGGAGGCTAACGACTGTGGACCGTCGAATCGGTTCATCCTCTCCGGTGAAGACGAATACGTCGAAACGTTAGCCTTATAAAAGTTTTGTAGCATCCTCGTGTAAGCGGTCAGTTTGAAAAACAAAATAAAGCTTATTAGAAGTTGCACATAGTTGCAAGCAACATACAACTGTTCTTGCTCTACCATGGTTATGCTTTGAGAAACGGATAAAACATACTTCTCCCTCTCTCTCTGTTGAGACTCGTATTTCGAGCCGCGAAACGACTGAACAGGTCATCACAGAACCCGATCATGTCTTCAATGTTCCCTTTCGTGTTTCACGAAGAATTGAGTTTAAAGAGACTTAAAGTTAAGAGGCCATTTCAAAAAAAATTGTACATGACCTTCAAGCGACCAGCCAGGATCTTTTCTGTAAGTAAGTCAACCCCCCCTTCTTAAGCTCAAAATTATTCAAGTTCTCTAGTTATCGGAAAATTACCAGCAGTTCCTGAAGAGCCAAAACTATCGCAATTGTGTTTGCAATCCACATTTAAGAGGAATAAATGCCCCGAACGACTTAGTGACTAGAAAATGTTGATAATTGAAAGAAGGTGAATAGACAACGCAGTAAATGCATTCGTGCAAATGATGGAAATGAAATGCAGGGCGTTTAGTTGGTTTTATGAGTTTCAGACTTCCAAAAGAATTGGATCAGTCGTTGTTTTCCAGACTATCCAGCTGTCCGAGTTTAATATGCTGCTGGAAATGTACGGTTTAGAAGCAGCATTCCAACCTATTTATCAACGCCTATTCTCCTGCTTCCTCACCCATGACAACAAATTCCAGTTAGTTACCCAAAGTCTAATCTCTTATTCCGCCCTCAAAGCGTCTTCATTTTCAGCTTTTCGGCTTTTGTCGCATGTCTTTCCCTGGTCCGTCTTCCGGTAAAACACACAGCATCAGCTGCTGCAACTTCAGAACTACCAACAAACCCGACACTACCTGTGAGTGTTTAAGAGTGTGCATATCTATAGAGCACTAATACTACGACTATTTCAGCATGTTGGTGCCGAATCGAATCATCAATCTATGCCGAACAACTAGTTGTCAATCGAGAAGCGACAGTGAGCGTCGGCGCTGTTCGGCGCATTCGTCAAAAAATCGCAGCTCCAACGAGTAATATTTCCGAAACAAACCCTTGCTCGTTGGCTGTTCGCATTCCAGCGCCGGCCGGCTGCTGTGCAACGGCATCCGTCCTCAGATTTGCGATCAGCGCCTTATTTATGTGGTCAACTCTGAAATCGGGCAATATCCTAATTGATGTAATGCTTAAATGATGTGTACTGTTGCTCAATCTGCTTCTTTTTTTAAATTTACTCGTCAGTATTCTTCCTCTCACTCCTATTGCCGTCTTTTTTCCTGAGTGCCGAACCATTGCCACTATTCACTTAGCACCTTCTTCCCATAAACGCACCGATTTTTTCCTTAATTAAAAAGATTTTGATAAAATTTTGCAGCAAGAAATTAAGTATTGAAGTAAAAGAGCTTTTCATTACCACAATGTCTCGTAGCCGCTTAGTGTTGTTAATGCAAAGGAGCAATTTCACTCACCTTTCCTATTCTGGAGTCAAAATTTGTGACTACAAAATGAAAGAGGTGAGATTTTGCTGTGGATTACCTCCTTCGACTGGTGACGCGACGCTTCTTACCGGCTCTCATCAAATCTCTAGGTTATGAGGAACTGCCGTTCTTTTTCTACATGGCCAATGACGACAAAACCTAATAAATCCAGGTGATAGAAAACTGCAAAAGTCGAGAAACTGAGCAAGATCTCCGACTAAACGTGCGTTAAGAAAAGCTCGTGCGATGTTTTCCAGTTCAGGGAAAGTGCAGACGGGAATTTTTAGTGCCGATGCTGTATCGGAACGATAATTCTCCATGAAAAGTCGTGCACGAGTTGTGGTGACCTAAGTCCCTTCAAATACCACGCATTCAATGATTTGATTGAGTCGCTATTATTATAGCACCGCAATTAAGAAAATACTCGGTGTGAGGAGTCCTAATGGTGATACACAGCTGATTGAGGTATTTGTATTCTTCTTGGAATCGGAATGAAGCCATCCTCAGGTGGTTCATAGATTTTTACCACAGATAACTGTCTATCATCGGGGATTGGAGAAAAATTGTCGCCTTTGCACCAAGGCCGCCACCGAAACGTTAGTGATTTTTGACGGCCTTACTCTAAGCTGGGCTGTAAGATGGTAAAGTCGACCTCATTCCATGTGTGACAGATGACGGATGGCTTTACAGCGCAGTTCGACACTTATGAAACTTTAAACCCAAGGTGAGGTTGTGGATGGGCGGTGTACACACAAGCACGCACACGCACACACACACAACACACACATACACACACGTACACATGCACATTCACACACACATACAAATACACATACACATACCCACACGCATACATACACACACGCGCACACACACACATACAAATACACATACACATACACACACATACAAATACACATGCACATACACACAAACACACACACACGCACGTGCACACGCATACACACATATACACATACACACAAACACTCATACACACACACGCGCACACATGCACATACAAATACACATACACATACACATACACACAAACACACACACACGAACACACACGCACACATGCACATATACATACACGCAAACACACATTCATAATGTTCAAAATTTCATTCGTTTTGAATTCTCATCATAAGCAATTGGTTCGCCTCTTTGAAATCTGCAGATTGCAAATATTAAGCAAATGTTGGAAACGCCAAATATGAGAAAGTTAGAGCGTGATTAGCGAAATAGCTAAGGGTGCCTAGAATACACATTTGATTGCTGGTTCGATCCTTTCCAGAACAACCACGCCCTTCAAAATCAGAAGATTAGTACCAGGTTTGTCGGAAAAATCTCCAACACGCTATTTCAGGGTTTTAGGAAGAATTAAAACCTATCACTATCCTATGTCACTCATGAAGAAAATAAAATCTTCAATTTGCAGCCCAATACACATTCAAATCGGAATACCGTGGATGACAGCTCCAAGAGAGCACGAAAATGTGCTGATCCACTCAGAATGTGATGTTAGGTCATATAAATAAACAAAATTTAATATAAGTGAAAGCTTAAACAATTTTATACTTCCGCCCCGAAATCTGTTGAAGACAACGGGATGGCAGTGGAAAAAGTGTATTTCTTAAATACAGAGGGGTCGAAAAGAGCAATGGTGATTACACTCTGCCATGTTTGTGAACACCAATATAGAGCACTTAATTTTACATCTTCATAGCACTATATGTCTCTGTCGTTTCAAGCAAGTGTTATTCTACTGCTGATTGTTCTATCTGGCCAGCTACTCATCATCCGGCCTCGTTTTCTGCTAGACGGCGATTACTTTGTTTTGCTTTCGCAGCTGTTTTACACATCGTAGACCAATAACTGCTCCTTTTCATACATCTGCAGTACCAATACGTTTTGTTTTGGCATGCAAGTTTCAAAACGTCATCGCTTCTCTTCTACACCTCACATATACTTCCCTTGTTCTCACATCGTACATAAGTCAGTTCGCTCACAATCACCTTGCTAACTAATCTCCTTCCGGCTACGTAATTCCTCTTTCATGAGGTTCTCGCCAGTGTCTGATGTCTTGCTTCTTATCTAACGAATTCATCGGCAGGACCACCGCTTTGGAATGGCGTTCGGTGACTGCTGTAAACTTAATGGTTCGCGGTGAGAGCAGTGCAGGTTTCTGTGCCTACCGCTGTCCTGCATCAGTACCATGGAAGAATCCGAATTACGACCCAGCGCTACTGACTCGGTAATCCTTCGTGTCAACCGCAGTATAGGTGGGTGTTATCTCGATGTTTTTGAATAGTTTGATAACTAATTAGATAAAAAAATGAGCAAAAATCACAGCTTTGGATTTCTTAAAAGCTGTCGTACTGATCCTCCCTTCTGTGAGTTCACTGAGGCCATGAATGTGAATTGTGATCATAAATTTCGTTCGTGGATGATTTTTCATTGATATTTCACCTACCATCTGAGGACTATTTGGTTAAGAGATTGAACTCAAAAGTGTTTGTAAAGCCAGCATAAGCTTAGTCATTCCTAATATTTTATGCTTTAGTACTCAAATTTTTTTCTTCTCTTTTATCTTTTGTGAAATATAGTCACGCGTGTTTAAAAGAGAAGCAGTCGTTGTGAGAACGATATCTCAAATCACCAGAATGTCTGCACACATATTCCTCTTATTGCCGTTGTGAATGAGTACCATCCATTTCGTATAGTAACGCAATTCAATTGAGCGTCCGCAATCCGTGGTCTAATTCATCCCGGAAAGCTCACGCTCAATTAAAACCATTTTCGTCTACGTAACTTTAAGTGGAACAGGTACGCACTATGTGGTTTAAATGTGTCTCTTACTCGACTATTGGAAAACTAGTGCGCCACTTCGTTCAAGGGTCCAGGCGAAAGGGCTAAACTTTGGGTTGTCCACAAATTAAAAATATATATGATTGATATGTCAGATTGCATCAGATATGATGCCAAAACTGTTAGCAAAACCTTTACGTGTTTCTTTCCTACCTGTCCGTTGTCTATATAGTTATTCTGTTCAATGCGTGTAAACATTACGTCTACCAGTACGCTCCGCTGTTGCAAGAAGCATGTCCAGCTCCCGTTAGATTGTTTTTTCTTGGCAACTACATAAATAATTCGACTTAGATTTGGGTAGAAGTCAAAATCTGAAGCTAGCGACAGGATTTTTCGCAGTAATATTAGGTGCTCCATAACACAATGTAGGAGAGAACGTCAGTGCAGTGCACTTGGGTGCTCCATAACACAATGTAGGAGAGAACGTCAGTGCAGTGCACTTGGGTGCAGCTCAAGCGAACACTGCGATGAGCATTCAAGCTACCTCGCCAAAGTGCCAATCACAGCGAAACTGGCCCGCTGCTGATAGCACATTTGCTTGTTGCAGTCAAAATATTTCGCCTGCTGTTAGCGCTGCTTTGAAAGCCAAATTTGCATCCACTGCTTGAAAATCCGATAAGTGAACTACTTATCTCATGCGATTCACATAAACGAAAATTTACGCCAGTGCTTCCAATGTTGGGGTAATTTTTCAGAATGTTAGCTTAATACGAACACACACATATATATGCTAACATATGCTTAAATGTATGTCTATGTATACAGAAAGAATGAGAGACGAAGAGAGAGCAAAGACGAGAAAGCACTTGCTCTGTGAATGGTGAGAAAATTCTTCGACGTGGTTATGTGGTTACCGCATTGATCTGAATGCATAAGTTTTTACATGGCCATTCTAAGAAGTGCGAATAGCGCTCGTAATGTTTACTATTTGCTGTTCACTTCCTCGGATGAGCCGTTTAGTTGAGGTCATGAGAACATCTAAGACCTCTATAAACGAAGGACCATCTATCCCACTCTTTAGTAAAGATTCCGATTCCGAATTTCTCATCAATCAATTGCAGCTGTTATTGCGACGTCGAGGTCTTCAATGGAAAATTTGCCGGGGCTTTTTGCTGTGGTTCACTTTAAATCAATGAGCACTTTTAATAATTTCTCATTAGCTGTAAAGATTGCTAAGCAGCAGTTGACTGTACTAATCTCATTTTTTGTTTCTGGCTTTAGAGGCACCGTATTATCTCTGGAATCTACATGAGAGTGATGGAGTAGGTGCACGACAACTCCAGCGTTTGTTTTTTCTCCGGTACTCGATAAAGATTTGCAAACTATGAGTCTATGCTATTTTGGAGTAGTAAGAATCATTAGAGTTAAACATCAGAAAACTCTACTTCACCATACTAAGGTGGTAAATCGCTTTGGATAAGTTGGCAAATTTCCTGCTTTTCAATAAATTCATTAATGAATATAGATCTCGAGCGTTTCGCACGAAAATGGCAGTGCTCTCGGTGTGGTGGCTTGTTAGGAATCATTCATCTGTCTCTAGGGGTAGTACTTACGGTAAGCGACTGCTATCTTTTCCCTCGTGGCTCTAACGTTTCATGTCTCTTCAGCTATTCGATATGCTCACGTTCACGATGTCGAACACCAGTTTCGCCATTTCGGCTTCAATTCTCTATATTATTTGTGCTATACTGTGTTTCATAGCCACCAGGTAAAGGAATTTCAAAGAATCTTGAAATTTTGTGCATATTTACGAAGTAGGAACATTTTCCTCTCACCAAGGAGAGACTGTAATTTTGTACCCTTCTATCACATTTGCGTTTAGTTTTATGTGAAATAAAAAAAGTTTTAACTATCATTCCAAAATCACGGCACCGTTTTAAGAGTTTGTCTTTCTAGTTGCTAGAATAGTAATTAAACGTCATTGACGAGCTTTGGAACTTTTCTCTCTACCTTGTCGTCATTTACGGACGCGAAACCTGAATATCAATGACGTGGATGAGAGCTCCTTATAAACACTCACCGTTTCGTTCTTTATAAGCTTCCCAGTTAGTTGATGGAAACCAGTCACACATAGATGAAGTGTGTTTGACTCGGGTTAAAAAATTAGCACAGTGCATGGCTTGAGGTGTGACCGTGAGGCAACTCTACCTGCGGTTTATCTTTCGATTATCGTAAATTATCCAAAACGCTTCGAGAGTTTTGTGTTCTGATATCTCAGATTGGGTAAACGCAAGTACATTAGTTTATACCAACGTAAAAGTTTTGATGAAAATGGACATGTTTGTACAATTTTCAATTAAGAAATAGCGGACAATGTTAAGCGTTGGGGCACTACGTCAACGTTCACAGCTCCAGCTACTTCAAATGAAATTGCTAACGATTCCTTTTCCATATGAATCGCGGTATTCTGTGATACCAGTTTGAAAACACACAAAAAAAACTTATTTGCAAAACTCCGGACCGCGGTAGTCCGCGGTGGGAAACGAATGCACTATTGCCTTTTCCGGGTGCTAAGGCGTTCATCACCATACTATGTGGGTCTTTCGTTCTGCTCGTCTCTCAGCTAGTTATACTAAACACTGCCATTAGCAATCACCCGTCAACGTGATTGATCTATAAGGCCCAAATCGGCAAGAAACCCAGTTAGGTTGAAGCTGTAGTCGAAATCACAATTTTAACTTATTATTTACTGTCTATTAGAATTACTTCACTGCAGAGTACTATGTGTGAAAGTGGTGGTGAACGCGCTAGTTCTCGGAAAGGATAAAATCTCGTTCACTCCCCACTGCGGACACCTGCGGCCCGGACAAAGATCTCATCATCATTGTGGTTGTATCACACATAATCCCCTGCCGTGAAATAATTCTAATAAACAGTAAACAATTAGTTAAAAAAATTTTTGTTGAGGAAATGCGAGACTCCTTTAAGGGAAAACGGCGTGCACATAACCTTCTTCCGAATAGAGACAAACGTATTTCTAGACTGAGTGAACGTTTATGAACGGCATCCAACTTTGCGATATTTATAGATAGAGTGAATCCCCGTGCTTTTAAATCCTTGGTCTTTCAGGCGTGTTGATCGCTGCACCCAGATGCTACTGGTGGTGTTCGCCACAGCAGCACTAGCAATTTCGGGCACTATTTTTCTGGAGAGTGCCATCACTTTGAATGACATGTGCCAACCTGAGCACTGCGATGATCAGCAGCATGTTGTTCACTCAGTGCTCATTTTCATAAACCTTAGCGAATGTGAGTCTCATGTAAACTGACTGAAATTATTCTCTATTTTTAACCTTTGAGATCTTGCAGTAATTTTTCACTCCGATTTTGATAACTAAGTGCCTCTTTGATCGCTTAGTGGAGTAACTGATATCCTCCCGTAAAAATCGGGATTTTCTCAATTGCTTTGTTTATCCCCTCGCAGAACGGCTGAAGCCAAATTTCCTTCCAAGTGATAGGGGAAGGCACAGATTCAGGACTTGTTCTAGGCAATGGTGATTATGAATTTTCGTGAATCGTGATATTGTCCACGCTGATGGATTGATTGACAACGATTGAGGCAGACAGAAAGCAGGATGTTTGACAAAGGTCATGTTATGACTGAGAACGTCGTTTTTCCATCTAAAACTACTAGTAGGAGATAAAAAACAAGAACAACTCATTATCAACGGATAGTCATATCAACAACAGCCGTCCTTTATAAAAGAGTGCCCCCGGATGCGTTTGCTTCATTCGAGCGGTACTCCACTGACGGAGATCCCTCTCAGTACGAAACGAAAATACCATGTCGCGTGGACCGTGGACCATTGACAAGGATCAACGGCTCTGAGGAAAACGAAGAAGTCGAAACGTTAGCTGAAGAAATAAATATGTGGTAACAACCTCTTGTAATGTTATAGATGGAATAAGGTACTGCTTAGATAAATGAAAACGCTCGAAAAGTGACTTCCATACACGCTTGACCAGAAGCAAAAACTGTGAGGCTTAGAATTTTGCAACTTGTTGTCTTCTCGAAACACGAAAAGAATACTTTTGACTCAGACTTCTTCTTGTGATAAAAAGTGAATAAAGGGATGACGGATAAAGCGCCCAAGCTTGAACAATCTCCTAGGGGAGTACTACGGATGTGATCCAACTATGCATCGTAGTGGTGACTGAATATATTCCTGACTCATATAGTGATATTCGGGAGCCTACTGATGTGTCAAATCAGTGTTGTTTACTTTTCAGACAACTGTGGTGTGAATTTGCTTACTTCATATGGGTACACAGTACACAGCTTGAATTTCCTTGCATGCGAGACAAGACCAACGACTGTAACTGCTGTGCGACACGAGCCCCACGTATGAATAATGTGCGAGAATCAACATTATTGAATGCTGATGGAAGCCTATACTACATTAATAAGCCTTCCAGTACCAAAGAAGCATGTGTTGCCTTGCAACGGCAGAAAGGCATGGCGTCGAAACCGAAGAAGAACCTACGTTTGGAAGTCTTCCGAAAAAATGTCTGATTCAGCCATAAGAAAAGTTTTTGGCTTGAATGAATGAAAAGAAGATAAAATTCTAGACGTTGATCAATTCCTGAGGAATGCGCCAAGCATTCAACTTCATTAAGTGCCGTTGAAGGTGACGAATGCATATCTGGCCTTTACAATGAATCGCGGTGGTCTACCGATGTATCGGGCCAGTTCTGCTATCCTCCAGCCAGACAAGTTTGGTACGGTTGGCTTGAAGAAATATTGAAAATTTTGTGGAGGATTGAAAAAGTTAAACTCTTTCTCTGTATGGGTAAATTTAGTCGAAGGATACACTCTCCTTTATTATGTATCCACATCACAATTCAGTATCCAGGTTATGCCATCAATGCAATTAGCCGTCAGAGCACTAGTGTTCACTTACCAACTTTCACCTTCACCCAGATAAATCTTCCAGTAATACCGTCTCCTTCTTCACACTGAAAAAGAGACAGAACCAAAATCCCTACAAGGAATTGCTCTACTTCTTCGCAATAATGATCCAAATTCGGCAGACGACCGATCTAACGTGGTTTTTCGGTACCATCTCCAGACCAGGACCAATACCAGGATCCACCACTGTTCTAGTATCAATGCCGCATAGTGGAAAATCTACCTCCGATCCACAAGGGCTGCGACTGCCTGTGGCGGTGACGACCTGGGGCAGACTTTGGCCAGGGTGACCTCGGGAAACCACAATGGCTTAACCAGCAAATTTCCGAAAATAGAGATTGTGCTGGGGCCCGTACAACCAGTGAGGACAGGCCATTCAAGTATTAAGTATCTTCACACTTATGAAGTGTTCAGTTTAAAAATGTGGTTCCAAAGAATCATATTTCACCTAGTGCTTCAAACTTCCCTAGAACAAATTGCTTTTTCTTGTAGCATTTCATCGCTGAGAAAAAAGTGTTAGTTAAATGCCTTTTGCTCTAATCATTCATTTGGCGAAATTCTCCTACTGCAATGTTAAGTAACTTTTCAAATATTCGCTGCAACCATGAGTTTTCAACAAGCCTGTGTTTCGTCAAAATCAGAACTCCTATAGCTCAGATTCTACGAATACACTTCTAGCAAGGTTTTTGTGCAGCAGTCATGCTCTATTATTCCTAATCAAATGGTCTGAGGCAAAACAATGTGTACTGTTTCAGTTGTGACGTGTATCGCAACTCTGTTCGTCTGCTTTCGTTCGTTGGGAGGGGCCGTGGCCGTCCACAAGGCCCAGTCGCCTTACAGTACTCTCATCATCGGCGACTTTCGCTCGTTACATCGGCCGGCGAAGATCTTGGGTCGGTGATTCTAACTAAGCAGTGAAAAACCCGAACGAATCCTCCAGCAGTTCCTGACTGACTAATACACTAATCATCGCGGTGGACAGAGTTCACTACGTTATTCACCACCACAAACCGACTAAACTGCATTTCATTTAAATTGCGATGTTTTGAAGAATTGAAATGGAGCGGTTTACTAGGTTTATTTTGGTGAATACTCAATAGATAATGATGTCCATCTGTTCAAAATGCTGTTTTCATAATGAGAATAAAGGTTTTTGTGAGAGAATAAAAGTCTGTTATTTAGCTCTCATTTAAGTATTTATTACTAAAATCGAAGCGTGAAACAAACTGAACGATCAACCAAACACTAATTCTTCAACTAATCGTTAATTCTCCACACCTGCCATTAATGAAGAGCGTAGGAAAATGGAAATTGTTTCTGTGAAATGGAAAGTTGCCTTGGAATATTTTCACAAGTATGCTAAGGCTTCTTTGGATGAAATGGTAAAGCTAGTGAGAATAAATAGTACAAACGGCAAAAACAAATAATGCCAATGAATTCACTATACTTTGAAAATATGGAAAATCCTGAGCTGATGAAAACCTTCTATTTAGGGCGTCTAATATTTTGGTAGCTTTTGGTTCCTCTACGTAGAAGCTTTCTCTTGACGAGAAATTAAGACCTTCTCGATCTCGCTCACAACTCCAAACTATTTCGCAACACTCTGTTCTTCTAGCAATTTTTGAAATACTTGAAAAAGCTAGTACTCAGAAGATGCAAGATTGGTGAACGGCTCTTTGAGCGGAAGTCCTTTTCGTCCAAACGTGGCTAATGTAAGCTGGAGTAACATTCACTGTATGAAAGCCGAAGCTGTGCACGCCATGGTTCTTTTTTTGTTCGGCTTCTGCAAGGGAGTAGAAGAAGCCGCGTAAGTTGCTATGCTCCTGGTTGGACCACTCTTATGAAGCACACCAGATTGGATCTGGTGAGTTTTCTTCAAAATATAACAACTGTCCTTCACGTTTACAACCCATACCTCCATGAATTCGCCTTCACCTACAATTTTGTGTTAAAACTCCTTCGTCGGCTACGAAGAAAAAGGAAGTACAGATACTGTGCAGTGCAGCAGCAAACGAACTTGAAGTAAAAAAGCTTTACTCACGTCTTATGAAGGTATAGCACCTAAATATCGAAAATTTTTTCCATTACAACACACCTTGACGGTAAATAATGCCTTGAAGTAAAAATATTCATTTCCGATTCTCCCAAGGGGTGATTCGACTGTAATTATAAGGAATACACCCCCTTCGAATTCCTATATGAAGAAGGGATTCCATCATTACAAGCGCTTGAATTATTTGGACAAGAAGGAAATATGAATGACGTCAGTCTACATTACTCATCATCCTCGTAATTTCAGACATCAACGTCGTGCAGCATCCGATCAGGAGCTCGTACTATTTGAAAGACAACTCACAGAATTTGGTGAACAAAAAGTCACTGTTATTCCACACTATGCATCAAGCAAGATATACTGTAACACTCTCGCAGTATTGAAAACTAGCCTTATCGAGCAGTTTGGGCAGAAATTACAAATCAAAATTCAAGAGAATGTAACACTTCCTCTCTTACTTGACATAGAACCCTTTACGCTTTATGTTACCTGGCTGTTTCTTTTTTAGATGAAGCAATTCATTTGACTTAATTCATTAACTCTTTCCATCACCATATCAGAGCCAGTTCTATAAACCGCTGTTATTACTAGTGCACTAGTTCCGTAAATCATCGTCGAAAGTCAGTAAAGTCGAAGTTTTGCTTAAATATCCATTCTATATGCAAAAGTAAAAGCCCATTTGTGTTAGGACTTGACTGTTCTTCTTACTATTTAGCATTCCTTGCTACTGACATAATTTATGCTTCTCGTCTGCCTACGACAAATTATTCTACAGTATCTGCATAAAATGCGACCTCCAACGGCCGACAAACGTTTTTCGTTTGATTGATTGGTTTTTCTTAGAGTTACAAGAAATTTCATTTCTGTCCTCTCTTTAGATCTTATAGACCATTTATTATAATTAATTGTCTTTTTCAATGAAGGCGTCGTCGTATTTCTGAATTTCAGCAGTGAGAAAGTGATGGACCAACGACAGGTAATCTTCAAAGAGATCGATAACCTGAAACAAGTCCTGCCTGTGAGCAGCGCCATTCTCGAGCAGCAAGTTCGATTCGAGATTTTTAAAGAGAACGACAAATATGTGGTCGTCTTATTCGAAATGGTTGCAGGACCGCACCTCAGTTTTGCGAGTGGCTTCCATCTATCTTTCGATAAGGAACTACTTTACCCAGGACCTCGGGAAGTCCTGTCGTGATAATATCGAGACCACCTCACTCATTCTGCAGGTGACAGAACCTTTACTCAACTATTTGCAGTGGAAAGAGGCGAGCTTATTCTTTTGGTAGATCTGGTAAACCTACAGTGATTTCTTAGGCAAGTAACAATTAATTTAATTAATTAGTTTTACTCGGAATCCGCTGAACATCTAGTTACTTGAAATTCGCGACGTTATAGTTTTTCTCCTATCGAACGTCATCTTACCAAACTGTTTTAGTAAAATGTCAGTGGCAAAAAAAATAAGCGGCGTCCTCTCTTATTCAATAAAGAGATGGTTTCCACATTGGCGAGAAATATTTCTATTGATGAGAATCTGATTACAGGCACTGGATGGATTCTGTTTCATTCTCGATGACCGATTCCGTATTCTCTACATCACGGAGTCGGTGTCGACGCATCTCGGATTTTCTCAGGTAGCGTACGCTCTTAAATTCAGTAGTTTTCAAATGTCAAGAATATTTGATTACATGTTTTTCTATTACTCGTCCGCACCCATAGTGAAAGGCACACGAATTGCGCCAAATTACTCAAGGAAATTCCTCAATGTAAGAGATGTCTCAGAGCTAATTGATTTAGTTAATGATAGTTTCACCAAGTGATAAGAGAATTTTCACACTTGTTTTCTTCACATGGTGTTCATCCGGCAGTTCTTGTTTTTGCTATAAAACAATAAAGGATGAAAGGGATAAAGCTCTAGGCGTTGATCAACCCCTGAGTGATGCGCCATGCATTCGACTTCATTAAGTATCGTTGGAGGTGACTGAATGCATATCTGGTTTATACAATGGTCCAATGACTACAATGACTTGTACAATAACTCGCGGTGGTCCACCGATGTATCGAGTCAATGTTGCTATCCTCCCAGACAAGTCTGGTACCAATGCCAACCCCGGGGGAATGGAAGGCTTGGTGGGCCGTGGGCGTGGGGATCCATTCCACGTGTCTGGTGCAGAGCGCCTCCGACCACAGCACCAGAAGCGCCCTTTTTATAAAACAATATCCAAAGCCAATTCTTGGAAAAATTGGCACCGAATCAGCGAAGTCGACATATATAAACTATAATGATGCATGGTACGCAAGGGTCACGCACAGGACAAATCGGTTTTGGTTAGAAGGAACGAAAAATTTTTGTTCGATTGAAGGTGCGTTATAACGATAACAGTGAAGAAATGAAAAAGTTAGCCATCACGATGCTCCCAAAGTGAATTAGCATATCAAAAGTAGTGTGATCGCAGCATAAGACATAAGACAGCAAAAACGTACTGAAATTACAGAGGGATAGATAATCTTAACCTTTTTATTTAGTGCCTATTCTTTTTAATGGCATGGTATGTTGCGAAATATAATTTCTACGATGCTGAGATATTTGCAAAACTCCGGACCGCACGTGTCTGCGGTAGAGAACGAACGCACTATTACCCTTTTCGGGGACTAACGGCTCTCCAGACCAATCCAGCCGACGGGTGGTTGCTAATGGCAGTGATCGATAGCTGAGAGACAGGCGAAACGAAGGGTCAGCATGGTGCGGTGGTGAACGCGTTAGCCTCCAGAGAAAGTTCGATCCCTACTGCAGACATCTGCAGTCAGGTGTTTTACAAATATTTTAGCATCACCGAAGAAGGACGGAAGGTTGAATAATAAAATACCTTCCATTTTATTCACGGAGACGTTAGTTCTACAGAAACGCCATTCGTCGTCAATCTCCTTGACGTTGTCTTGTAAAGTCACCGTTCATCGCAGTCCTTCACTTTGAAAAGAGATCATTTCCATTCTGCATCCTATTTCTCGCATGATAACGAGACCTCACGCGTTCAGCGGATTTCTGGAAGACTGAATTCACCAAGTCAACAGCATCGAATTCAATCGTCCTTCCATAAATTCATGGTGGAATTTTAAATATCAACATGGTTACTCAGTTGTATATTTTGATGGCCCGTCTTTACTGGTTGTGTGCGCCCTAGCATAATCTCCATTCTTCGGAGATTTGCTGGTTTAGCCACTATGGTTCTCTAGAGTCCCGCGGACAGCTTGGCCAAATTCTGCCCCAGGTCGTCACCACCACAGCCAGTCGCCGCCCTTGTGGATCAGAGGGAGATTTGCCACGATGCGACTATTCGATACCAGGACGGTGATGGGTCCTGGTATTGGTTTACTCTTAGCTGGACTTCATGATGGAAATGCCTGACTCCTTCTCAGCTTGGGAAACCCTAATAGGGGATGATTCTCCCTCTGTACATCGCAGCTCGACGCACAGGAACACCTTCCAGCCACGAGATGGCGGTAAACAGTTGGGAGAAATATCCAGATTAGACGAGAAAAGGTTTATTCAAGCTCACCAGGTAGATTTAAGTTAGTAGTTCCCAATGGAGATTATGAACATCAAACAACATCTATGCGTATAGCTTCTGCAACATTCTCTACGAAAAAGTGTAACTGCCATTGTGTATATGTGTAGTGTATAAAGGAAGGCTAATCATACGTAATGCTCATGTGACCACCAAGAACGAATTCTAAACCAACACTCAATTCTTTATCATGTCATTGTTTTTCGCATAGAATTCTACCTTTGCAAAAAAAATCGCACCAGTGAAAAATGAGCAGAAAAGGACAGTCTTGCGATTTAGCACAATAAATATGTGGCAACAACCTCGTGTTACCTTATCAATGAAACAAGGCACACGGACTAAAGCCGATAATCCTTAAAGAGATGAATTTCCAACGTATGCCTACTTGAACGACTTCTAACCTATGTAATAGTTCCCAGGATCGACTTTCTCTTAACCTCGGCATTGGAATGTGAATGTGTCGTTTTCTTGTTCAGCAATCGCGAGGTTTCTAAACAGCATACATTTACTTCCATAGAGAAACACAATACAATACACCACTAGCTGACGTTTCGGCAGTATCGCATTCTTCAGAGCCTGGAAGGGTATACTGATATACAATCTACTAGGCCAAACGCTTCAATGACACTTACAAAAAGACGAAAAACTCTTTGGTAATTACATGATCAACAACTTCTCGAAAAAACCCACCGCTTTTTTGTGACTTCCAATAAGGAAGTTTAGAACAGCTGATTATAGTCGCATGTGGTTGATGGCTGCACCATCCCACATCAAAAATCGACGCGAACGTACGGGATCAGGTCGCGTATGACCTCCGGGCATTCATCCCTGCTATTCATTGTAGGTTTTTCGTCTTTTTGTAAGTTGAAGCGTTTGGCTTAGTAGATTGTATATCAGTATACTCTTCCAGGCTCTGAAGAAGGCGATACTGCCGAAACGTCAGCTAGTGGTGTATTGTATTGTGTTTCTCTATGGAAGTAAATGTATGCTGTTTAAAAACCTCGCGATTGTTGAACAAGAAAACGACACATTCTAACCTATGTCATAGAAATATTGTCCTTCCCATAGGAAGCTGACTCCTAATGTCAAATACAACAAAGAGGTTAACGTGTGGGGAGTAAATCGATATCGATTCCTTACTGGTAATGTAGAAAAAATCTTTAAAGATGCAAAGAAGAAACGAACCGGAGCTATCTGGAAGGAGAGCAGCACTTGATCGATACATTGCGAGTCATTATAAAGGTCAGATATGCATTAAGTAACCTCCAACGATGCTTAATGAAGTCGAATGCACAGGCACGTTCCTCGGAGATCGATGAACGCCGGAAGCTGTATTCTGTATCATTTTATTCTGGTAAACACTCCATTAGCAAAGAAATGATGGCACTATCATCCAATCGATATCCGCTTCGCACCGGATCAGATAGATCGGTGCTAAAATTAGCCACTGCAGAGAATATTTTTGATCAGTCTCTCCTGATAAGCAGCACATGTGAGGTCTACATTTTAGAAAAAAGCAAGTTATCAATTCTAAAGCGAAATTGTCGAACAAAACGTTCATAGCAGGACTAGGAAGCTGTTATTAAAAGTGTTCAAAACCTCTGATGGTAGCAAAGACACTGTGTATAAGCATACTGATGAATGCGTACTTCGCGAACATATTGCGCTTTACAACAAATAATTTTGGTGACACAGAGTAGAAATCTAGAAAGCAGGGAAAACATAGAGTGACGTCCTAACGGACCGAATGGTCTTAGAGATTAATTTTTGTAAGAGTTGCTGTGTAAAGAGTAGTTCTTCTCAAATTTGTCTGCCACAACGTTTGTAGCATGAAGACCATGAAAGTGATGTAGTTTACAAAATAAGATGTTTTGTGACGATGAAGCAATAAGAATTAGAACGTAATGAAATCAATGCACATCGTCCGACATGTCTGCTTGAATGCGCATTGACATGAACACATATAGTTGTAAATTTCCCCAATGCACCTAGTGTTGAAGCGTCCCCACTTTCCGCAATAAAGAATTTAAGTTTTAAGTATAATATCTCTAATCGCTTCAGGTTCAAATGGTAGGTTGCTGTATGAGCGAATTCGTGCATCCCGAGGATTTTTCAGTTCTAAACCATGTGATGACAATCAACATGGAAGTACCGCAGTCCTACACGCACAAGTGAGACAGTACTCAATCCAGAAAAAGTGTGAAGGAATTTCAGGAGAAACGTCAAAAATTTTCACTTTTTTTCAAGATCCAGTATGCAATAGATTGCCTACTTATTAACTAGCACTTTAGTTTCTACATAAGTACTAGAAATTCGCAAAAGCATGGTCTCAGTGTTTTCGTAGACTCAAAATCTCCTATGCCTTAACTGAAAGATTTTTCAAAGACGGAGAGTTTACTAGAGGGAGAAACTTGTCGAATGTTCTCGAAATGGAGCAGGTAAGGCGACGATATAAACATTATGTTTAGGAAGAGCACACTTACTGGTTCGAAACTCCTTGGAAAGACCACGGGTAGTGGGCCGTTTATAAGCCCAGTTTAATTTTTACGCTAAATCACTGCTTTAGAAAATCCTCAACCTATCTCAATGTTACAGAGATTTTCACGACTGAGTAGTAAAAGGAGCGTGAACTCTAGTTTTTTGATATATAACTTCAATGATGCTGAGATACTTGCAAAACTCCGGACCGCAGGTGTATGCGGTGGGGAACGAACACGCGCTGTTGTCCTTTCCAGGGAGTACCGCGTTCACCACCACACCACGCGGGTCTTTTGTTGTGAAAACGTTGTGGAAACGAAATGCAAACATCTCAGCATCGTTGAAGTTATATTTCAGAATGCCGTTAAAAAGAGTAGGCAGTAAATAATAAGTTACAATTCCAATTTTTTGTTCGAAAAACCTCTAGAGTAGCTTGAAATAAAGGCAGGAATTCAGGAATTCATTGCAGGATGGAGTCGACGACGCAGTTTACTTTAAGGATGACGTCGAAGCTACCAAAACGTAGCTGCGGCTTCATGTTTGCTGGTTACAAGGTAGGCAAGAGCAACTACTCAATCTCTTATACATAGGAAAGACCAACGAAATTGCTGCTGAAAAAAACATTACCCGTAAGGTGGGAAATGTCGATCTCAATACAAAAAATTGCTTAGCACGTACAAACCACAGCAATACCCTTTTCACACATTTGGAATAACGGAAATATTCGAAATTATAGTTGCTTTTAATGGGTGCTAACGACAACTTAAGTAACTAGCGACTGAGTCCTACGGGTTATAAAGCACACATCAGAAGAAGTCCGAATAGGTCAGATTTTTTCGCGAGGCATCTAAAGAAAAAATATGGCTCTCAACGAGTCGCTAAACCGAGGAAACCCCACAGACAAGGGAAAATGGAAACAGCTGGTGTCCAGGCCTTACTAAACTGCTCCTCATCACACCCTGTCGACTCGAGTGTCTCCATAACAGATTTCAACCTTGTGTACACCACGTACCTTATGTCACTGATAAGCTAACACGTGGTTAGCAGCAAACATTTATTCGTCTGACGTTTCGAGACGTCTTTGGCTTCCTCAGAGCCGATGATCCCAGTCGTTGGTCTACAGTCATTCTTCCTGTCGATGTGGTGTATTCGTCGTCCTATAGAGTTTGAGTGGACTCCTCGAGTATTACTCTGCTACGTGTAAGCCTATCTAACACCGACTGCTGCAGAATGGTCTGTTGAAAGCCAAATTATGATCAACGGAGAATCAGCATCAATAACAACCATCCTGTATAAACGAGCGCCGCCAGGTTAGCCCGCCTCATTTATGCGGTGGTCTACTGAAGAACATCCAATTCGATTGGACCAGCGACCCATATCATTGGTTCTGATGAAGACAAAAACATCGAAATATCAGCCAAATGAATGTTTGACAGTCGCCTCATATTTGTCAATTAATGAAATGAGGTACATTGACCATTTTTATCGAGGCTGAATAAAAGTCGTCTTACCATAGTGCTTATGTGCTCTATTAATACAAGCATTAACGTAGATGCAGGTGGTTATCGAGGGTAAATTCATCAATAACGGGTCTATTTTTCACGCACTGCAAATAAGTGAGACCAATTGCGAACCCGATACTAGAGGCACTTGTGAGGCTGTGGTTAGAGGTGGAGTACAATACTCAGAATCGACAATTGGCTCGATTCTGCTTTCCGAGCCCAACGAGCCCTCCATCCCATGTGGTCTGAGCAAATTAGCACCAGGCTTGTCTCGGAGCGGGCACAACTGGCGTGATACACCAGTGGGCCACCGCATGTCATCGTCCAGGCCAGGTTTGCATTCAAACAGTTTTGAGCAACATGCTTACTGAACTCGAATTTATGTCCCGACTCTCAGAAATTGATCAACGCCGAAAGAATTAACTTTAAAGTATTTTTAGAGTTGAACTTTTCAAAAAAAATGAAACGAGTCTGAATTTTGGATGTGAAATTTCCTGCGCATTTGAAGCGGTTTAAACACTTCGGGGAAACCATCTTTTTCTTTTATATAAAATCCCGCTTAGTTCAATTTTCTCGTTCTAAAAATGCGAACTCGATGCAAAACAGTTCTTTCGTAGTCTCTATAGACATAGAATTATATCGTGGTAGAATAAAGCATCTTGTAAATTTTGGGCAAAATACGAATATTCTAATATTTCATTTTTCTATTCTAAGTCCTCTTTTCAACTATTAAAGCTCACTGTGAACAGTGGGTTTAAAGTTCAGATCGTTCATCATTTTTCCAGCATAGAGAGCTTATACCGTCGGCCAGTATTAGAGTACTTAACGACCCAAAGTCTTGAATACTTGCCAAGTTAAATGACGTCATTTGACTCTGTGCCCCCAAAAGTGCACGTAATTCCTTACGTTTCTAGATTCTCTTCAAATACGTACCCAGTTACTTAGACGTCCTAATTTCACATGTGATACAGTGCCTTTTACATTTGATTCGTTTTCCTGCATTCATCATCCATAAAATTAGTCGGATTTAGCGGTAGATTTGAAGAAGCTTGAGGATCAGTAGACTCCCTTCGTTCTTTACCTTTTTATTGATTGCCAAGTTCTATTTGGAATCCTAGGATGAATGTGCTAAAGCGTTCATAGCTCATAATAGAAAAGCGTCAACCTCTGTGAATCGGGTGGAAGTGTGATGTCTCACGATTTGAATTACTCCAGTATGATACAATACCAAATTCCATGATAGTTTACTAGACATTCAGTAAACCGTTTGCATTGGAGTGTGGGCTCTGCTACCAGTTGAGGTTTGGTTTTCTCTAAAGATGTCGTTGGATGCTGGTCATATGGATTTTCCCTGGAATCCTAGAATAAGTGGAGACATGGATGACTTGATCGGTGGAGAGTGGAATCAAGCCACTGCTTTTCCACCACCGTTTATCTATATCTCTACTACTGAGCTACCCGCACTCCCTCAAAAACATTATACAGAAAGCACAATGGTTTGACATGTCGCGCATATGATCACTGGTACGAATTCGCACCAAACAAAACAAGCACCATGTCCTACGGAGATCAGCAGACTAACTCCTCCGCAAAAGCTCCATCTGATCCAGAAAGGTCAGCGAATGCTTGTCACGAAGATCTGGCAGCGTTCGCGTGACGCTACCCTAAAAATCTAAGAGGAATCAATTTATCCAGCGTTCAACAACATTCATCGATAAGACAAAGTCTTCAAGCTGCAGGTAAGCCTACATGCAAATCCGAATACCATACATATTCTTTCTTTGATAGGTTTACTTGCCAAACCTACTGATGCCACTTAACTCTGTGGCCCCAAAAGTACACATAATTCCTCATGCTTTTAGATTTTCAGCTTGATAAGCTTAGCTTGAAATATCCGATTACCACAGTCTCAAAACTACGAAGCGTATGAAGGAAGTGCTGAATCCGCCTAGTATGTAAAGCTGGGTCGTACAAATAAAAACAAGTGTACTATATATATTTACACCAAACAAAACCAAAAAATGAGATGATCTTTTCCAGAGAATTTTTCAGACGATCCTTTGTACTGGATTCGTGCGTGGAATTGCTATTAATGGCGTGGTACGTGGAGAAATACTTCTCGCCAGTGGTCAAATGATCGACAGACCAGGAATTCTTGAGGCAAACTGATCGCCGTTTCTTTATGTTTGACTTTCACTTCTAACTTTCGAGCGGGCTTTTTGCAGGTGCCATTGAATTCGCAACAGTTTCTTCTACGCACAACGCCCGATTTGTCCATCGTATTCTGCGACTCACGGTGAGTCTACGCATAGTTCTTGTCTAAACAAAATGGCAAAGTTCTCTTTCTTTCAAGTAAAATTATGAGGAAAAGTTTCCTAGTATAGTCAGATCTTCCTAGCACATATTATTTCTTCACGTTTCTTTTTTGTTAATAATATTCCTAAACGGTCGCTTAACTGGTCTACAGAAATAAGAATCCTAACAACTCAGCACTAAATAATGTTTTTTTTAATAGAACGATCTTAGTACATTTTCTTTAGCGTCGGTGAGATTCTGGGTTTCAATCCTATCGATCTGCTTGATAGAACACTCTACCATCTGATCACCGTCGAGGACACCGAATCACTACTTCGAGCGCATATGATGAGTAAGAATATTTCTGCTACTTGGAGCGAGAAAAGAAGACCAAAGAAAAAAGGAATATGAGGGCTAGAACGAATAAGAAAAAGAGGAAAATGAAGGATAGGGTTAGAAAACTGAGGGTCGTAGGAAGAGGATGTGTTCAAGAAATGTAAGGATATAAGAACAAAATAAAGAATCATGAGGTAGTTAAACTGCAACGCAAACTAACATTAACTAAAATCCTCTATAAGTGTTTGATGACTTCTGCTGAACTTAAATCGAATGAATGGCGATTCAAGGCTTTACAACTGCTTAGTTTAACCTGTCATTCCATTAAGGTAGCAGATAATCACCTAACAGCCTTTGCATTCATCCCAGCAGTAGTTCAGTATTCTATCTATGTTGGTAACAAACTGAGCTTGTAGCAAGGTGAAACATACCAAATCACTGACCTCACCTGTATCACTTGTCACCTATAGTCCTGTTGATCGTCGAGTGACTTAACCAGGCGCCAGTAAATCTTCCATATTTTCCTGCCGCGTGGAAGGGTAGCCCAGTGATTTCTGCTCGCTCTGGGGACTCGTTGAGCATCATATCTTTCTTCTAGGCTGTTCGTAAAGAATTCTGACCATCGGGTCGGTGGCTTTCTTGCAGTGCGTTTGGCGTCCAGAGGAATCCAGTCACTAATGACTCATGTCCATCAGTTGTCATTCATACGCATTACGTGTCTGGCCCACCTTATCTTCAACTGTTTGGCGTACAGAACGGCATCTTGACATCATTGACACTGACACTGACATAGGTGAGCCAATATCAGCTACGGCGTCGCGGCACGACAGACTTTTATAAGAAATTCTACCCACTCTGCGTGAGGATACCGGACCCTTTTGCTATGGCTCACACATTATACAACACGGCTCAATAGCTTTCCCTCCGCTAAAATCATTCACTCTTTCATCATAAGAATGACTCAAAAATCGAAAATCACATGTATCTCTTTTTTTCTCTTTGGTCAGTGGACAAATAGATTAAGCGCCGATAAAGTCTCCATTGGTAGACATGCCACAACTTCTGCCATAACCTAGTGAGTACTGCTCTCTCGAAGCACACGAGGAGCATCTCATGTTCTTCTTCCAGAATCTGCGCAATGAAGTCTGACAATCGTGTCGGTACCAATTGCGCACGAAATCCTTCGGTCGATAATGACCAATGTCTAATGGCAATCTTTGAAGTGTATCTCAAGCCCGACTCACCTCATTTTCAACAGAATGTCGAATATGGCAACGTCAGATTTTTGATAGTCTAAGCGGTCGGCATTTCGCATTGTCTCTCTTATTTGAGAGACAAGGGATATCAATAGCGTTGATCTATGAATAGCGGATTTGATGACATCATCCTTTCAAACTATTCACGTAGCATATTTTCGACGCGTGCGTTAAGAAAAGAAGAACCATGGAGAACTTCTAAGGCGATCTCCTCTTACTAAGCTCTGCAGCAAAGTCATTCATGATGTTGATTTCTCCACTTCCATGTATACACGTAGTTGGAGAAATCTGAGAAATCTGTTCTATAAAGCATGAAGGCATAAGGAACGAATGGACGTTGAAGTGAAATAATGAACGTTGCTGGGAAGTCATAGACCAGTGACGCTCTGGACGTCCACAGTTTAATGATCCTCTCTATCCTGAATCGAATAAATTTTCTAGCTTAGTTCAAATAGGACAAAGACGAGAGCCAACCTAGTTCCGTTAGCTTATGGAAATAATCACCGTGCTAGACCTTATTCGAACTCCTGATCACTCAAATGAATCCTAGTAAAAAATATTTGAGTAAAGAGCATGATGACGCCAAATAGCAAGGAGACCAAAGAGTTATTCACACATTTAAGCGTCTTTTAGAAGATATCGTTATAAAAGCGTCAATGCGGGCTTCAATCGGCCCATCAAACACTTTTAAAATAGTGCTAGGAAATAGAGGGCAAAGAGCGAAGCCTGCTCCCACAAATTCTTGAAGTGATAGTGAATACCGGTGTTGGCAAGGACCTGATGAATTACAAGACGAAGATCACTGTCAGTTCTCCAAAAAAACAATTCATGCACACACAGTGGAAATGGATAATATTAGCCTACGATGACATCTACTGCGACTCTTCAACTGCTATGTTCATCTCTGTCCATATCAAATTCAGCTCCAATTTTTAAAACACTGCAGATAAAAATTGAGTTTGTAGAATTTCCAGTGCAGGCAAAGCAGTCGAAAACACTGGTACATTAAAGGACACCTTGTGGCTGTCTTAAGTCATATCCATTCGTTAACCGTTTCACCGCTCGAAATACGTAGCCCCATAGAAAATATATTTCGTGGCCTCCAAAAAAAAGTAAATTTTGAGATTGCGGAACACTATAACTACTCTCGTTTTGGCTAACATCTGGTAGAATTATGTGGGTTCCTATTTCAGCTGACAAAATTCTTTGTGAGTTGAGATATTTTGCTGAAACTTGAAAAATACAACTCTTATATAATGCTGAGATATTTGCAAAAGTGGGGACCGCAGGTGTATGCGGTGGTGAACGAATACCGCGCTGTTGTCCTTGCCGGGGAGCAGCGCACTTTACCACCACACCATCCGAGTCCTTCGTTTTGCCTGTCTCTCAGCTACTTCTATCGATCTTTTTGACATCAGCAATCACCCGTCAATGGGATTCATCTGGGGAGCCCAAATCGGCATAGAACCCAGTTAAGCTGCGGCTGTAGTTGAAATCACAATGTTACCGTCAGCGGGATGCTGTGGCAAAGATCGATAGAAATAGCTGAGAGATAGGCGAAACACAGGACCCGCATGGTGTGGTGGTGAACGCGTTACTCCCCGGAAAGGACAATAGCGCGTTCGTTCCCCACCATAGACACCTGCGGTCTAGAGTTTTGCAAATATCTCAGCAACGTTGTGGTTGTATTTCGCTTAGTACCCTGCCGCGAAATTATAGTAGGCAGAAAATAAAAAGGTATAACAAAGGTAAAAGTATTAATGAAGATCAAACCTCGCGATTGCTGGGAAAGAAACCGACGAGTTTATAATCCAGTGTCAAGGTTAATAGAAAGTCGCTCCCGGGAACTTTGACCATTCATTTTTGAAAATCTCGGTACATGATGGCGCACTCTTGATTTGGTCTTCCCACTGCCACTTAACTGAGTTCGATAGCGGTTGTGTAATCTGACGAAAGAAAAACCTCTGACATTATTGTTCTCTTGTTATAGATGCAGAGTTTACAACCAACTTGCTCCGGGCACACTTTGGTTTAGCTTATGATCTGTTGCTGTAATGCTTGACATTGGAGCCAGATAACGGAACTACCGAAACTGGTTTTTCCTTGGTTGGGGAAATTTCCACGAATGGAAATGTTCTTGTGCCATGGCGAACTTAGTCACTAGTCGCACTTGTTGAGCAAATATTTTGCTGCCTTGCACTCCTACCGCTATTTTAGTTTAGGAACTATTTCCGTTGTGGTCGTATACGGAGTTAACCAGTTTTCCAAATGGAAACAGTACGGTAGTTCGCTTCATGACCTCACATCATTAGGGATGAAACGACACAGACCAACATTAAGACACGGGCTGTAAGGCAGGCTCCATTTGAACGTAAAAAGCGTGTAGTTTTTTCGTCGTCGACTCCATCCTGCAATGAATTCCTGAATTCCTGCCTTTATTTCAAGCTACTCTAGAGGTTTTTTGAACAAAAAATTGGAATTGTAACTTATTATTTACTGCCTACTCTTTTTAACGGCATTCTGAAATATAACTTCAACGATGCTGAGTTGTTTGCATTTCGTTTCCACAACGTTTTCACAACAAAGGACCCGCGTGGTGTGGTGGTGAACGCGGTACTCCCTGGAAAGGGCAACAGCGCGTGTTCGTTCCCCACCGCATACACCTGTGGCCCGGAGTTTTGCAAATATCTCAGCATTATATACGAGTTGTATTTCGCAACATACTCTGCCATTGAAAAGAAAAAGGCAGTAAATTAAAGGGTTAGGATTGAAAAATACAATTATTTTCGGAGATCGTGATGCACATATGACTCATTCGAGATAACATGTTCTAAAGTTTCTCCCAATTTTACGCAATTAAGAAGCCTATCTATCACCTCGTCGGAGTCGCAGCTTTTTTGATAGACAAGCTAACTCAGTATTTAAAACGGCAAACGTCCAATTTTTACTTGATACTTGATACTTGAACGACCCGTCATCTCTAGTTGTGCGGGCCCCAGCATAATCACCATTTTTCGGAGATCTGCTGGTTAAGCCATTGTGGTTCCTTGGAATACCGAGGTCAGTCTGACTAAATTCTGCCCTAGGTCTTCACCACCACGGGCAGTCGCAACCCTTGTGGATCAGAGGAAGATTTACCACCATGCGACTTTGATACCGAGACGTTGGTGGATCCTGGTATTGCTTTACTCTTAACTAGGCTTCCTGATGGAAACGCCGGACATCTCCTCAGCTTGGGAGATCTTGCCAGGAGAATGAATCCCCCGCTGTACATCATGGTCCGACACCCACGAACACCTCCCAGCCACGATGAGGCGGTAAACCGTTGGGAGAAAACGCACAATAAGAAGGAAAAAAAATAGCAAAATCAAAAAAAACAATGAGAAGTCATGTGAACTAGTAAAATGCGACGACCTGGAATCACAAGAAACTCTGATAGTAAAATGTGCAGATTTCAGTACTACGACCCGAAGAGTGTCAGTCTGCTACCCAGTACGTAGGAATGCTCCGCCAAGGCGGCGGCCAAGCTACGGTTGGGTTGCATCTTATCAAGCTACCCAGCATTCATATTGCAACCACATTCTCTATCTCAATAATCTGCACACTTGTTGGGTACATTTTTCGCAGTTTTTTCGTTATCTACATTCATACTGTTTCAATCATATTGATAAAGAAAAAATCAACTTGAAATAATGTGTGTGGTGAAATTTCTGGCTCTAACCATTCTTTTACTTAGTTGGCTGATTTGGTTTGTTAAGTTGCTTAGATTTTCGATCATTTTACCCATTGCTTCAGTTCGTTACGGTTATCCACGGTGATGGGAGGGTTTGCATCTCCTTGATTCCAACTTAAACCTCTGTTCATTTCGCAATGGATACCGATTCAGCGTGATTTTCGGTCAAATTTTGAGTTCACCATGTCCTTCCAGGCGTGCACCAAATGCAATCAAGCACTTCTAAATGGAAAGGAGACTTCTGTCCTGAGAATAGGATTCTTCGAAAACAGGAGCTATTTTCGCGGCGATCCGTGCCATTAGTCGGGCGGCTAGTCTAGGGCGATATAACAAGCTGAGTCATACTAGTTGTGATACAATCTCACTGGTCGCTATGTGAAAGCTTTCGAAGTAAACCAAACGAGCCGGCGTTGGTCGTCATTACAGCGGTGCGCAACTGGTCGGCCGACACTGCATTTCAATATAACATTCCTTCAGTTACTCGCTTCAAAGTTTTTTCGTGGAGTGCTTCCCGTGCTTTGGTTAGTCCTGTTCTGAAAAATTTGCCATAGGAGAGTTACACAAAATCAGGTTCACCTGCCCTTGAAGAACAGGCACCAGAGATGACTATGATGAATACCTCCGAAAGGTCTAACACGGTTATCTCGGAACCCTGAGAAAAACGCGACACCAGTATTCAACATGTTCCAACAGAAGATACGACTTGTTCTGGAGTTGGCGATGTATTCTCGAAGTATACACAGCGACAGATCAGTCAACTCAGACTGCAACCATAATGTTCTCGGAGACGTCGCATTCCATATCAAATGTGAATTCTGCACCCCTTAAGGAACTAGCAATAAGAAAACTATCATTCGGTACATGACCGATGTAACACTGCCCATCTCAGGTGAGGAAAATTTATCGGTAAAATTGGTAACGTCGACCTTTGCACCGATTCGGTGCCCATTTAGTGCTTTCACATGAAAACTGTCTCTTGCCTTTGTCGCCCTGTGCTTTGGATTTCTTCAGGAGATACTAAGTTTTGTCAAACAACTGATCACCGGCATCGCCAACTAAAGGAGGAAGTAGAAATGAGAAAGTCACAATCAGAAGTCTTTCTGCAAATTTGCTGCACTCTAGATTCAAGCTAGTGCACTAAAATAAAATGGATGCAGAGTTGAAGCTTCCGAATCATAATATGACAGAGAATGAAGATCCTATTAGGCACTACTTCTTAAGGCGTGTTCATTTTTTTTAATATTTAAAGATTACTGCCGATGAACTTTGAACTTGCACTGAAAAACCTTCTCCTTTCTTCAAGACAAACTGTGAACAAAGACTACAAATTTGCGATAGAACAGAAGGATAAGGGAGTTTTCAAGAATTGAAATTTGAAAACTATGGAGGCGGCACAAAAAATGACGAAGAAATTACTTCGAGATATTGGAAGTGCAGCGCTTTCATTTCTTTCTTTAAATACGAGCGCAATACAGTTTCCCGCCATGAGAATAAATTTGTAACGGACGAAGAACTAAAAAAGTGCTTTGATCCAGAGCGCCCAACTATTCCCACTACCAGTGACCATTTCCCAAAAGTTCGAGATGAAAACAGAGGCTTGGAAACTGGAAAGCCTCCAGAACTAGATACTATTTCAACAGGTCTTCTACAAGCTGGCGATCACTATCTACAAGCTATGCTCGGCAAACAGATGGCACTTGAGAATAGGCCGGATGTCCAACTAGTGGAGTACTTCTAGTACGTCCTTCAACAGCGAAGTCACAAAGATGATCTGAGTAATTAGTAAGCAAGTTACTTAACATGCTCTATAAGTTTTTCACGACTGTTATCCTGACGAGCACTTCGAAAAACTCGCATTTGTTCAATAGTTAGAGCAAACTAGCTTTTGCGAGGAATTTTGCTGCTTAAACCACCTGCTTCCTGGATTCGGCTTCAACATCGTCCTTGAGCGGTCGGTTACTTTTTCAATCCTACTTTCGTCTCTGATTTCTGTTTTAATATCTCGCCGAATCAGCTAGTTGGAAGACCGAGCGAAGGATTCGCCGCCGAAAACACACCTTCCTCTGATCCACATCGTGGTGAAGACTTGCAAGGTTACGTCAAGACTCCAGAGATAAGAACCACGTTGCACAACCAGCAATAGGCCAGCCTCAGTACCCCGCACACTGTGTGCTCCAGTCTATGACGTCAGGCGGTGAGACCACCGGTGAGAGGCCAGAAAATGTCGGGTTACGTAGGACGTCAAGAAACCACCGACCAACTGAAGGACCCGAGAATCCGCGCTCATCTTTTCTGTTCTGCGGTCCTCCCAGCGTTCTGTTATGCTGCAAAGACGTGGGTTGATAATTCAACTACGTCAAGAATGCTTCGCACTACTCACAGAGGGCTTGAGCGAAATCTTTTGAAATATAACTGGCACTCTCAATATTTAGCCGGAATGCGAAACTCTGACCGAAATTTGTCACATCTTCGAGATTCAGGAGAATATACATCGGAAGCGAAACATAGATGGGCCGGTCATATAATGAGAAAAACAGACGATAGATGGAAGAAAAGAACAGTAGAATGGACTCCAAGAGAATGCAAACGTCCTCCTGGACGACCACCTACACGTTGGACGGACGTGTTGGTAAACAGAGCTAATCAGCTGTACCTGCAGCTGCAGTTGTTTTACAGATCACGGTATGAGACTCGCAAGCGCTGCGATGCTCGAACAAGAACACCACCATGGACTACGATTGCGAGAGAAAGTAACGAATGGCATATGTGCTGGGGTCCGCACAGCTCGTAAAGACAGACCGTCCAAGTATCCAAGTAAGCAAGTAAATAAACCACCTGCAACCACTTTTGAAAGTTACGGAGGTCTACTGGGAGTACCGTCTACTGCCTTACACGACCTGCGTGCAAAGGTAAATGCAAAATCAACTTGTGTTTGCATTGCTGACCTTACACCAGGTTGTTAAAAACGTTTATTCGGCTGATGCTCCGACGTCCTCTTCATCAGAGCTAACGATCCTTGTCCATGGTCCACAGTAGTTCCTATTGCAAAATCCTATTAAATTGTTCAAATTAAAAATCACAATTCTACCTATTAAGTGCAGAATCATTCTTATTTTGTGTTTGTCTCTATGCCCGCCACCTGGTATTGTGCTGTGCAACTTCACGACTGGCCAGTATTATCTAGCACAAACGTAAAATAACACCCAAATATCACTGTTATTTCAGAAAAAAAAACGCTGATTATTATTTTGTGATTGATTTTTAGGTTTTCGTCTTTATCGGATTTTGTCGATATTCTACAGATTATGCTTCCGGTCGATAAGAAACAGTCATTTGGATTGGGTTTTGTTGCTTTTCTTCAACTTTTCTAGATTTGTTTCGAAGCCTAACATATAATCGGCAAAACGGGGGACCATTCTTTCATTTCAGGAGCTCACTCGAGTTCTTTCTATGGTGACACCATAGCTAAAGACACGCCCAGTCGAATACTACCATTAAGACGGAGTCGCAAGAACCAGCGAAAGCAGGATCAGCATTATTGTAAGCCTACAATAATAGACACAAAATATTAGCAACTACGACGTTGCTGAGATATTTGCAAAACTCTGGACCGCAGGTGTCTATGGTGGGGAACGAACGCGCCATTGTCCTTTCCGGGGAGTAACGCGTTCACCACCACACCATGCGGGTTCTTCGTTTCGCCTGTCTCTCAGCTATTTCTATCGATCTTTTGCCATCAGCAATCTTTCTATCGTATTTCGCTTAGTAACCTGCCATGGAAATTATAGAAGGCAGAAAACAAAACGTAAGAGCAAAATATTAGGTTTAGTCAGTAATCCCAACTCTAACCAACTTTTTATCTTTACTGTCAAAACGATTCAATGCCTAATACATAGATATTCAATTCTAGGCGAAAACTGATCAGCCCAGATATTTGGATGATCGGTCAACCAAGAACGTGAACCTTATCTCCAATGTATAAATCCTGATTTTTCCCGTCATTACCTTTGCAACTGTCTATAGGAGAAATAAAATCTACTTAACATGATTTTAATCGGCTCCTGTTAAAGAGCTTTCACCATACAGATATTTTATTTACAAAATCCTCTTTCCGTTCCAAGGAGTTTGAGCTCAAAAATATTTCATGACCCACTATGTAGACGTGGATGAGAACTAAAATTCAAACTTAACGATAAAACGTCTTCTAGCAATATAACTTATATAATGCTGAGATATTTGCGAAACTCCGGACCGCAAGTGTCTTCGGTGGGGAGCGAACGCTCTGTTGTCCTTTCTGGGGAGTAACGCGTTCACCACCACACCATGCGAGTCCTTCGTTTTGCCTGTTTCTCAGCTGGTTTTTTCGATCTTTTGCCATCAGCAATCACCCATCAGCGGTGAGCGCGTTACTCCCCGGAAAGGACAATAGCGCGTTCGTTCTCCACCGCATACACCTGCGGTCCGGAGTTTTGCAAATATCTCAGCATCATTGAAGCGATATCTTCCAACAACAGTTGAAAGTTCAACAGAGCAGTCTTCGAGGAAGAGAAGTATAGCAGGGTGAAGAGGGAACGGTGCCATAGTGCAGTTATACAGAGCTGGATCGATTACTGTAGCGATCCTTCAACACTAAGCCCAACATGCATTGATTTCCAAGCGTGAAAATAATGGCCACTTTTAAATTCAAACTGTCATATCTAAGATCATACTGAAATTTATTCATTGAAACAGAACCGCCAAGATCTACAGATTTTCCCTATAATACACAAGTTCTCACATTCTGCCAAGATGAAAAGTGTGATTGTCTTGAGGGACACAACTTGTTCCCTAATGTACCCTTGGTGTTTGCGACTGCAACGTTCTAGAAAAGTTGGAAAAGTTTGAGAATTGAATGCCGTACGAATTGAATGATAAAGAAATCGTCATTTTGAAACATCATTGGCACTTCTTCTGCTCGACCATAACGATCCGCTCCTTGACCATATTGTGAGGGGAAATGGATCCTTTATGATAACATGCGACGGTCGACTTAGTGGTTAGCTCGGTGAAGCACCACACGTCAAAAAGCCGAAATACGACCAGAAGAAGATCATAATGAGTCTGCACTTGGTGCGATCCACCGGAGCTTATTGAATCCGGGTGAGACAATTGCGGCGGTCAAACACATTTAGCAAATTGACGAAATTCACCACTAACTTCGAAATCACTGTGCCACGTTGGTCAACAGGAAAGTACTAGTCCTTTTCCACGATTCGGCGCTGATGCACGTCGCACTACTGCCGCCGAAAAGGTTGAACGGGTTGAGTTACGAAGCTCTGCCTCATCCACCATACTCATTAAACCCTTCGCCTATTGACGACCACTTCTCCAAGCATGCCGAAACCTCATGTAATCGTCCTCAGGAATCGTTTGCAAGCGAAGCTGAGGACGAAGCTACATACAACGACTTCAACATCGCCTGATGTCCAGAATTTTGTACAGCCGGTATTAATAAGCTTGTTTCTCGTTTGCAAAAATGTGCAGATTCCAATCGATTTTATTTCACTTACCAAATTTATTGTGGGCTGAGATTTCTAATTTTAAAAATAGAAGCTGGTGTCCGAAATTTAATAAGAGTAATAGTTGGTGTCCAAATAAGGCATACAATATTCTCGTTCTTCTGTGGAACTGAATCCACTGAACGCTATAGGTACACAATGTGCTTGATATCTGCAGACAAAGACCCATCTATCTTGTTTTGTTTTCCATCCCACCACTGCGTTTCTTGAACTGAATTTGTTTCCTAATTATCCACAACACAACTGTTTTCGCAGATTCGTTGAGTTCTTTGGTCTCCGGCTGTGCTTCACTGATGCTTCTTAAATACATGACTTCTCGTTAGCAAAACTATGGTTTCATATTAAATCGTCGTAAGCCGTTTATGCACCAACCAAACAGTTTCGACTACCATATTTTATTTATGTAACCCAAATACTCATATGGTGTAGATCCGAGCACTTCCATTTTCGATTCTTTGCGTTGCATGTATCATCAGCGAAATTTGAGGGTAACACTCTTCTATTTTGTCTTTTCCATTAATCCTGTCATGAGGACGGATTTAATTCTCCAGGGTAATGTATAATACTTAGGCACTGAACGAATGATAAAAAACGAGAAATATTGCGTGAAGAGGAATAGGAATTATCCTAAAATAAATTACATTCACAACAGATGTAGAAGAAACTCACTTCTTAACAACATGACGGAAGCAATTCACATATCACCATTTATTTCCTTCTCCTTGACATAAAAATTCCCATGGAAAAAGCAATGTAAATGAATTGGTCTCCACCCCGAATTCTGCCTCCTGTTTCAAATTCTTCGATGATCTGTTCACCTAGCGTCTATTTTTATTGCACTTATGTTGACGTTAAAGTTGAAAACTACGAATAGCAAGAGGTGCTTAAGTGAATATCTAGTCTGTACTATGACTTGCATTAGCCTAACGATGTATCATAACAGTCTTTTCATCATCCCAGATTAGCCTGGTACGAACCGGACCGAGCACTACAGCTTCGAAGTGTTGGAAAGCTTGTTGGGCCTAAGAGCGGGATCAAATCACGGACTGACCCGGTGTGTGCTGCAGGACACCTGTAACTGCTGGTAACGTGCGGTCTTGGTGAGCCCGCGTAAACGGTCGTGAATGGGATAGGTGACGCATTCTCCCTGAATCATAAAGACTTCATGATTTATTTAATGTAACTACGGTCTACATCCACTTATCTCCTGCTCAGAAGCCACGCAACATTCTACGCCGGATAAAGTATTTAGCCGAGCGCCAAAATTAATGACTGAAGAAATGTCTGCCTTTGTGAGTACAAAGCAAGTAAAAAACAATCTTCACGATATGTCATAAGACGTTATTTCGATCTTGTTACATTGACGTCTTCGAAAGCATGCTACTTCATCGCTTCGTATGTTTCACGACCAAGTTTCCTACTTACCTGACGTAGTGTATTGCTTGTTAAGCTTTACTTCTTCTCCTAAGCTTCTAGGCAGCTTTGCGGAGATGGTCGCAGTCATCGCCACACACAGCCGTCTTCCATTATAAAATGGAAACAGGTTTGCTCTTATACTATATTTCTACTCCCACGATAATGATTCCCGCCAAGAGCCAGGATGATCAATGTGGAACATTGGAATTCCCACTCATGGGAATGAAGATTGCAAATCTCAAGAGAACGATGATGCAAATTAGGCTAATGCACAACGAGTTTGTGATTTCTTTCATGTATCTATATAAAGGACAAAGGATAAACCTCTCCGCATTGATCAATCCCTGAGAGATGTAATATGCATTCAATAAGCATTGTTGGAGTCACTGTAGGTATGTTTACCCTTTACAATAACTCACGGTGGTTTACAGATGTATCAAGCCAGTGCTACTATCCTCCCCAGTCTCAATACCAATGTCCAGACTCCGGAGAAATGGAGGGCTTGGTGAGCTAGCGACTCTGGATCGTTCTCACGTGTATTGAATTCCGCCTCCGACAACTACTCTACACACGCCCGCCCCTACGTCCACCTACATATTTTTCAAACTAAGGCAGTGCTAACATCCTTTCGATCAAGCACTGCTTACGCAGTACACGAGTTGCTCGAATACTGAAGTCTAAGAAAACCTTTAAACCGCGTCAAAATTAGGTTTACTTAATGAAATGAAAAAGTGGCAAGTAAATCCACAAAGTCGATTTCACAGCAATTTTATACAGCATTACATACAATGAAAGACATGTACGTATATGTAGGTTTAACTTCTGAACACTATTCCACTGTACTTTACTGAGTAAATGACAACTAGATTCGCTGGACTACAATGACTGATTACATGGGTGCAGCTTCGCAAAGTAATTGACGGAACACTGATTAGCTCGACGAAATAATGACGATTAACATAAGTAACTCTAGAAGATATAGATTACAAGCGTTGATTGCAAAATCCATCGTTCCATGAACATTTATGTTCCTTGTTTGGAAACATGGTTCAGAGTCTCTCTACATCAACGACCTCGAAGTCAGAAACAGACGACTCATCGAATGGAGTACCATCATCGATTGAGAGGATCACACCTTTCTCACCAATCTGACAAAAATTTCACTTTGAAAAACACCAAACAATATAAAACAGAAAAGCTAAGGAATAGAGACTAACAGAACATTGATCGCAATCGTCCTCTGTAGCTGTGTGAATACTGTTGATTAACTGCTCACTCTAAAACAAGAACTCACATCAGAGTGATTACGCACACTCTGGTATTATTCATATGGGAAAAGAAATGGAATTGAAACGGTAGAGCTAAGAAATAAGAACTAACAGAACACTGGTGGCAACCATCTTCTATAACTGTGTGAACGCTGTCGACCAACTGCTCATTCTCAAACAACACATTACAGAGAATACGGACAAACTAGTGCTATTCATATACAAGAAGAAATAACACTAAAACGATAGAGCTAAGAAATAAGAACTAACAGAACACTGGTCGCAATCATCCTCTACAGTTGTGTGAACGCTGTCGACTAACTGTTTATTCTGAAACGATAACACGTTATAGAGAATAGGGACAAACTAGTACTATTTACACGGAAAAAGAAATAACACTGGAACGGTGGAGCTAAGAAATGAAGACTAACACAACACTGATCGCAACCACCATCCATAACAGTACGGATGTCGTCGATTAACTTTTCATTCTGTAAAAGACACTCGTATGTAAGTGCATATGCACATATTGCTATCATCAGTTTTCGAAAACAAAAACAACAAGGACCCAAAAGAACAACCTTAAGGTTTTTCACAGATATATCTGAATCGACGATTAAATCGATTTTAACAGCGGCTTGAGGGCTATTTCCTTCGACCTCAACAACGAATCAATGAAAAAGCAACGATATTCTTGACAAACCGACTTAGTGGTCTTTATGTTGCTCAGCTTGCACTAAGTTGTTAGAGTAATGATAGAATAGTGAAGGGATAACAACAACAGTGATCTTAACTTTTTTATTTACTGCCTTTTTTTCTTCTTAATAGCAGGTTATGTTGCGAAATATAACTCGTATGAAATGCTGAGATATTTGCAAAACTCCGGACCACAAGTGTATGCAGTGGAGAACGAACACGTCTATCGATCTTTTTTGCCATCAGCAATCACCCGTCAACGGGGTTGATCTGGGGAGCCAATATCGGCATTGAACCCAGTTAAGCTGAGGCTTAGTTATAATCACAATCTTAACTCTTTTATTTACTGCCTTTTTTTCCTTCTTAATGGCAGGTTATGTTGCGAAATATAACTCGTATGAAATGCTGAGATATTTGCAAGACTCCGGACCACAGGTGTATGCAGTGGAGAACGAACACGCGCTGTTGTCCTTACCGGGGAGCAGCGCACTTCACCACTACACCATCCGGGTCCTTCGCTTTGCGTATATCTCAGCTACTTCTATCAACCCCGTTGAAGGGTGATTGCTGATGGCAAAAAAGATCGATAGAAGTAGCTGAGATATACGCAAAGCGAAGGACCCGGATGGTGTAGTGGTGAAGTGCGCTGCTCCCCGATAAGGACAACAGCGCGTGTTCGTTCTCCACTGCATACACCTGTGGTCCGGAGTTTTGCAAATATCTCAGCATTTCATACGAGTTATATTTCGCAAAACAACAGTGATATTAACACAGTGATATTCCCATTTAGCAAACGGTCCTTTCAGTAGAAATTTCCACAAATTACAACACATTACTTTATATCTTCCTTACAAACCTTGCTGTGTGCGAAGGCTGCGCTGAACACACTATCCACTTGGTCCTTAATGCAAAATCTGGTTCCACAGATCCTCTCGCAACACAAAAAAAAGAAAACAAAAGACATTCTACACAAATCACATCATACCTTCAGCATATTGACAACTGTTCGGACTGTATCTGCATGGTCTGTCGTAGCACAGCTTTGGTTCGTATTAGCCGAAAATGAAAAGTCATGAGCGGTATCGTACGAAGATCTATTCTATGAGAAATCTATATCTCTTTCTTACTAACAGAGTTCCCATGAATAGGAGTTTCACGAAGAGTAATGACCTCCTGAACTGCTTTGTCACCATGTGTATCCGACAAAAGTAGACCTACAAAGTAATGGAACTATTTGAATCACGACAAATCGTTTTGAAATTAAAAAAAACTACTACTGGACCTTCATAATGAGTGGCCAGTGCATCAACGGTGAACGACAGAATAGGTGATATCGGAGTGTTCCGATGAAGAACAGACAACAGATGGCACTCGTAAATAACATCTGCAGACGATCGTGCTATTGTAACCCTAAACAGTGAAGAAAAATGAAACTAATTACATAACTTCACTTATTAAGACCGAACTTACGCGACATTCCTAGTTTCTCCAGGACCCAATGTAGTTGATGAAATCGGATTCAAGAGATGAACATAATCCGGCCAATTAATTGGAACTACCTGGGAAACAAGAAATAGCAAAATATAAAACTACAAGAGAACAAACTTCCATAACCTACATCAATTTGGATTTCTTTACGGGAGAGGTTGATCATCTTGAAATATTTGCCGTAAACAGCCGGACCATTTGATATACGACCAATATAATTTACCGATGATTCCTGAAATCAACCCTTTTGATAGTAAAAGTACACTTCATGGGTAAACATAGGAAGTACATACTCCCACAACAGCAAGCGTTGGTTCACTGGTTAACTTGAAGTATTTTCCACCCACTCTTTGTTTCGAAGAAGGCTGTAACGAAACAACTTTGGACAAATAAAACGTTGTAAGATGTGGACTGTTTCATCACATACACGTCTACATAGCGATAAAACATATGTACACTATGATCATATAACATAACACTATACATACACAATACATACATATATTATATATACATATGCTTTCAACGGTTTCCGCATTACCATGGCTGGAAAATGTTCTCGGCAGGATCTTCCGAGGTGAGGAATTTTGCGATTCCATCAGGAACCTCCACGAAGAGTAAAGCAATACCAGGATCGACCATCGTCCTGGTATCAAACTAGTTGCATGGTGGCGAACCTTCCCCTGATCCACAAGGGCGGCGACTGCTTGTAATCGTGACGACCCGAAGCAGACTTTGGCCAGGATGACCTCGAGACTCCAGAGAACCACAATGGCTAAACCAGCAAAACTCCGAAAAACGGGGATTATGCTGGGGTCCGCACAACCATTGGGCACAGCCGTCCAAGTATCCAAGTATATACATATATGTCACTTTTCTTATTTATCGCCTACTACAATTTTTCACGGCAGTGTATTATTTGTGAAACAACCCCAGTAGTGTTGATATATTTGTAGAACTCAGAACCGTAGATGTCTGCGGTAGTGAACGAATGCGCTATTACCCTTTCCGGGAACTAACGCATTCACCACCACACCGTGTGGGTCCTTGGTTTCGCCTATTTCTCAGCTAGTTCTATCGATCAGTGCCATCAGCAATCACCCGTTAACGGGACTGATCTGGGGAGCCCAAGTCAGGAACTAACCCAGCTAAGCTGAGGCTGTAGTCGAAACCACAATGTTAATTTTTTTATTTACCGATTGACGCTGGCGGGTAATGGCTAATGCACTGATCGATAGAAGTAGCTGAGAGAGAGGGAAACGAAGGACCCCATGGTGTGGTGGTGAACGCGTTAGCCCCCAGAAATAGCAATAGCGCGTTCGTTCCCCACCACAGACACCTGCGGTCCGGAGCTTTGCAAATATTTCAGCACCATTGTGGTTACATACTTATAATTATTTACATGCAACGTTTATGAAAACCAAACCTTCGACTTAGCAATGTTCAACTGTTGTTCACTATCTGCAGAAACCTTTCTAGTTGATGACGCAGTATCGGCCTTCTGCGTTTGTTTCACCTTCTTTCCCACAAGAAAATCACGAATGTCTGCCTGTGCACCGCACGTCTTACAGAAGCGTTCAATAATCTGCAGAAAATTGTCTGAATCGAAATCAACAGAAACTTATCAAATTATGCTTAATTACAGGAAACTTTTGCAGAGAAAACTGTTAAGAAGACGGTTACAAAACTTCTAAGAGAACTTTTATGTTTAAAAAAATAGATCCACCTTTCTACCAACGAGGTAAGCACGGATGTCTTCCTGGTTTTTTTCCTTTTCCAGTTTTTTGCGCTCCAATTCAATGTCACATTCCTTATTAATCTTCTAAACAACGGCCACACCTCATTTATTAATAAAAAGACAACCAAAACAAAAAAACTGTGATGAGATGCCGCTCGCACCTTCTTTTTTTCATGTTCCTTTAGCTTCCTCTTCATATATGTGTAAGCGTCAACAGAATGTTGAGAACCTTCTGACACCATAGAACTGGGGTTTTGAATCGTTTCCTCCGCAATCTTATCAGACTCGAAAGATTTTGGACGAGGAACACTGATTCTACGACAGAAGTCGCAACCGCGCGACTTCGATGATTTCGAACTCTTGTGTTCCTTGGAAATGTTCACAAGTCCTCTTAAAAGTTTTCTGCTCCTCCCAGGCTTCTGCTCCATCATTCTTAGCAATCCAACAATCCACTATAATGCACATTCACAACCAAGGCTTATTCGTTAAAAAAAAGAGTACTCACAAAGATTGTAATACGTTTTACCTAAAAAGGAGAACCAAAAACTCGACCTCATCATGTTCCCTTTTCTCAAGTTCCTTTTCAACACGGGGAACCGATTGGAGGAGACTCTCGTCAGCGCCTCCACTTCCGGTACTTAGCGCGGCAGTCATTGACAGCCTATCCTCGTTGTGCATTCGTTCCCATTTCTAGATATAAAAAAGCACTAAGTACAGTTCATTCACTAACTTTTTAGAAATATCATACTTTTTGGATCCTATGAGCTACTACAGCAGTATTCTGAAGCGTTATCACATCCTCAATTCTGGGTGAAACTTCCATATCGGCAATAGAACTGATCTGCTGGATGGATCGCAAAGACCAAGGTGTTGCAGCCGTTAAAAGAAAGTGCTACATAATCGATAATTCACTTAAAAATGTAAAAAAGTGAAAGATGAGATACCTTCTTCAAAGACTTCCCCGAACACTTAAACACGTTCTTGTTGTCCCGCTCAAGTTTTCTTGTGGTAAGGAAGCGAGAATTTGTCAAACTAAATGCGAGCAAATTACAGTCCTGGTGCTCATCGAAGCAGAAAGATTCGAAAATATTACCGTCTCAAAGCACGACTGCGTTCAATTTTCTGGTCAAAATCGAATAAAGAGTCGACAAAACTACCAACGTTTATAATATCCAGCTTAGTATCGTGCAATTCGGACAAATCAGGAGAAGGCAGCTGAAAACAGGAAGGTGGTACGATTAATACTGGAACTGCTTCTATGTTACCATCCACCTGCTATCACTCTACATCGGCTAATTTTCAAACTTCACCTCCGGAACAAAAACCTCTGCTGATAGAGCTATCGGAGTAGTCTGTACAGATTTTTCGGTTCTAGCCTTCTGAGATGAAACATTGGAGTGTGATGAAAGCAAAGAAAGCGCAGATTCCTGAAAATCCAACAACTGGAAGACAGCTGGGATAACTGGAATAGGAAGAGCATGCTTGTAAATTGTATCGTACACTCCTTAATAGCAAAATTTGCAAACTAATCCGGACATGCATAAATAAGATGTGTTAATGGAACCTTAATCATTTCCTGTCGTTGCTCCAACTTCTTTAAAAAGTCGATGAAATCATCGTCAAAATCTAGTTCACAATTAGTTCCTTCTAATGGCTGGTTTCCCTTCGCGTCAATGGACGTAACCTGAGGATTATACACGAAGGCATAAAGCAACAGTTACAACACCGGTCACAGGACTAGTAGGTACAGATGATTTCATTCAGAGTGGAACACCCACCTTTTCCTCAGTGAACGAATGGTTTCTCCAACTCATTGATCGAGGTTCACTATCGACTTCGAAATCCACCCGCTCAACTTCGCGCCTGCCACAAGTGCTGAGCAGTTCCTGAAAATATGCAGAAAAAATATCTCGTGCTGTTCGTTCCACGACAATTTCTGACGTTTCAACACTTAAATGTTAGCGGTAGAAAACATTTTTGGGGTCAAATAAAATCCACCTTTGTGCCTTGTCATCGCAGTATGCTATCAAAATGCTGTCATCCAGAAAGGTGGCACATTCTTTCATATAATGTGTAGATGCCTACCGTATGAAGTGGATGATAGACACTTCACTCAAGCGAAAAAAATTATATGTAAGGTGTTTCACACGGTTACCAACGTTCATTTCCACATGAAATGATTACTTCAAACTAACAAACGACCATCACACTGCCAACTAGGGTGCAGACTGTCTACCGGTATTCTTGCATACTTGAATGGCCCACTTTCAGTGGTTGTGTGAGCCACAGCATTATTTTGATCTTCTCGAAGCTTTGCTGGTTTAGGCATTGTGGTTCCTGGGAATCCCCAAGGTCAGCCTAGCCAGCGTCTGCCCCAGTTCGTCACCACCACAGCCATTCACCGCTCTCATGGATCAGAGGGAGATTTCCCACCATGCGACTAGTTTGATACCATGACGGTGGTGGATATTGGTATTGGTTTACTCTTACCTGGGATTCCTAATGGAAACGCCGGCTTCTCTTTCTTCGTCCTTCCCACTATGGGAGACCCTGCTGGAGGGATGAATCCCTCCGCTGCACATGGCAGCTCGACACCCGACCATGATCAGGCGGTAAACCGTTGAGAGGCCTACCAGCATAATTAAATTGATATGTCAACATCAGAAAAACAGCCCGTTAATAAAATACTTTGCATGGATACCGTAACAACAATGAATAGAAGTGTTTTGTACAGATATTATTAAATAAAAAGTGAGAAACATCGATATCAACTCACATAAAGGAAGTCGGACGTGATATTATCCACCTCATCCTCATCCTCTTCATTTATCGAGAAACGAGCGGAGGAAGAACGGCAACGATCACTAAAAGAAGAGCATTTCACGATTAGGAGCTAGAAAATCTATACTCTCAAACCTGATTCTCTCCATCATCCAAGCGGCTACATCGGCGACCATAGCAGTTTCCGACATGTCCACATCATCGACGATCAGTCTCATGAATTCGGTGATCCGATAGTGGAAAACGAACTGTACATAACTTTTCATTCCTTTCTGAAATGGATAAGAAGGCAAAAAACAATTAGGCAAAATGGAAAATACTGATTGAGATTACTAGTCCATTCAAGAATATAACATAGCACTTTGGCCCTCAAATATGTTAAGACAAACTTATTTCTTAATACTCTCTCTCCCTCCTCTTCTAGAAAGATTAACATCCTATTAGCAAGGATAGCGCAGTGGCAGTGATCCCGTTCATTACACAAACAGCACGACCCACGAAAACTGACTTGACCTTGCACTGGGCCCGTCGAGCCTCTCATCTCTTCAGTCGGAAAATTGGTGTCAGACTTTTCTGGAATAAGACGACCCCCTATGACGCTGGAATGGCCAAGGCTTAGTTTCCCAAGGCTTGCGGAAAAATCAACTCGACCAGTGTTCACCTACACTCGTGATGAAGATGAACAAATCCTTAAGCGCCATCCCAATCCACACAAAAAGGGACAGACCCTAGTGGAGGCTAAATGCGAGGAGACGTATCGAATGCAAGTGGAGTTGTGATCCACTTCCATGCAACTTCCAAGCAAAGGAAACCCCACCTCATCATATTACAAGGGCTCAAGCGCAATTATAGCTCCAACCCAGGTATAAGTATGTCAGTCAACCCCTCAAGGCCAATAAACGACTTTAAACAACTCCAAGAAAACATAGTGCAGTGATTTCTACGAATTTAAGGTAGCCATTATTGGCTTGGAACTGGCACAAATGAAATGCTGGGTAAAGTGAGGCCACACGACACACGACAAATGCGAGCTCGCCAGGGTCAATAATCAAATAATATCAATAATTACCAGCCACATGATTACAGCTACTACCGAAGTAAAGGGTTCAGATGTACGGGACACACTAAGCCAAGGATTAATCGGCAAAATGAACAACTGACGCCGCGTTTGGGGTTGGAAACTAAATAAGCTTGTTTGATTTTCGATGGCAAACGATACATACAAATAGAGTAGGCTTCTGACTACAACAAAAACCTTCTTAGAATCCACACTTTACCGTCCTCAGTAACTAACTACGAAAAACTAACCATGTGGCCTTCTCTTATCACAATTTGGTTCACCTCACCAATGCAACTGGTTGGTGTTCCCACCCACTATACTCAAACATTCTGAGTTAACCGTGATAAAAAAAAGTGCTTCACAGAGCCAAGAACTTGTTTATTACACTATAGTGGTTAAATCAATATGTCGAATAATAGACTACTAACAGCCAGAAATTGACAAATCAACAAAAACCAGCTCTTATGATCCAGTTTAGGGCAACGATCAGCAGATGTGGCGGCCCGGGTGGCAGTGCACGCGGTCGCGTCAGCTGATACGACCGCACCGCGGCGCACATTGATCCGCAGTCGCGCGGCGCCGGCTGGCTGCGCAAACGGACGAAGAGGCGGGGCGTGGAACAGGCCTGGGCCTAGTCGGGCTGTGGCGACTGGGAGCCTCATTCGAGAGTGAATATGCGGCTAGCGACATCCTCACACATCCACTCGATGGCATCCAGTAGATTCTCGCCGGTTATCGCACTACAGCCGTAGATTCGCCAGTGATGTGACCTTATCTCGTCCAACTCCAGTAACTGAAACATGCGATCTTGACTAAGTAAGGCCTACCTTAGTGTTGTTTTAAAATTCCATATGATTTCATACGGAAAAAGATGAAATACGTTACGAACAGTGTATTCTGTATATGATGTGAATATAACGTACACCGTTCATATAGATGCCGACCCATGGGGCTGCTAGCGCATTGTTAGAGATGGTGATCCTCACGATCACGATGCTGGCTCCACCCCACGCCAGGCTCACCAGACCCCTCATCCCTCTGGTGTCGGGAGATTTGTAACAGACTTGTCTGGCCCCAACTCACTCACCGAAATCTACGCAGACCGCTCTACCGTGGCTATCTTAGGACTAGAGAGAGAATCGGCTCGATCAATATTCAACGACATTAATGACGGAAGAGAGAATACTCAAGCCGCAGCCAAACCCACACATAAAAAGTGGGAAGACCTTCGTGGATGATGAATGCGGGGGCACTAACCGAATGGAAGTGCTGCGATCGGCGCAGTAGATGTGAAATGGTGGGTCGTGTACAATAAAAAAAAATCCGATAACATTGCTTGAGAAACTCCCTGTGCACACTATGTATTTAAGCAGACTAGTTTCTATAAGATGTATGTATATATGTATATATATATACATGTGTATATATTAAATATGTATATGTACGTACGTACATATAGATATCAATGGATCTACCTCACAGAGGCATCTTGTGCCGGTTAGACGCAAAGCAATGTGATACGTCCCTAAGTGGCGGATGGGGGGTTCATCGCGGAGCAGAAGCAACCTTTGTTTTCTTCATACACAATTGGTTGGATCCAAGAGATAGACTTCCTGTTTCTGCTGCGCCGATTTAGCGCATCCCTTGTGTATTTACGAGACGTATTCTCTCATGCCCTCGTGTGTTATCGTTCATATGGATTTTATTGTACGAGTCGATTCGGCGAAAAGTCTGTAATCAAGTAACAGGGAAATATATAGATGTTTAGGAGTCTCATCCAACATATAAGCTCCTCACTCTAATCTGGGAAGAGCGGCAAGCTACTCGTGAATACACTCAACCCTTTGTTCACAGCTCAGTAAGAAGGATGTTCAGAGCAATACGCGGTTACGGGTAGGACGAGTAAAGGGAAGCTGCCAAAATTTCGGGGCCATTCTATGAGGCCAAAACTGCGGAGGACCACGGTGACGGTCTGTACCTAAAATGCACCACACTTGTATCCGAGTCCTCGATGTAGGGTTTGATCATACAGACAAGAAAGTCAATGTACGACGTCATCGGATTGACTGAGGCGAGAAAATGTCACCATTCCATTAATCGGCTGTTGGTATGGTGCTGTTCTTGATAATACCGACGAGGAATTCGATCGGTTCACTCAACATCTTCACGTTAGCGTTACGAAAGCTAAGAATTCCAAAGTCACCAAGAGACGTTTATCTCCAGAAACACTCGAGCTGATACGCCTGCGTGAAATCGCACGAGCTGTAGGCAACCGCCAATTCATGTCCGAACCTGCTAAACAGTGCAAATAGACCATAAAAGAAGATTTTAGAGAGAACGCAGCAGCAGTTATGATTGAAGCGGTAGAGGATGGGTAAAGCATTCGCAAAGATCACCAAAGCTTCCCCAACCATAAAACCAAGGCGATTGCTGCCCAGACGGAACAGTTACGTTAAAGCGTCCAGAAAGGCCACAGAGAAAATCATTCACGACTACTACTCGGCTCTCTTTAGTAGCCACGTTCTCCTCCCTCATATGGAATAAAGGATGGATGTCGTACCACAGGTTCTTCCTTCCAAAATCCGACATGTTTTTTCGTCGGTGAAAAATCAAGTAACACCAGGTCTGGAAAGGATAAGATCGGAATACCTGAAGAACCTTCCGCCAATCCTCGTAAATACACTGGCTCGGCTCTTCACACGTTACCTGTCTGAATGCAAGGTCCCCACTCAGTGGAAGACCAGCAAAACCGTGTTATTGTTCAAGAAGTGTAACCTCCACGATATTAGCAACTATCACCCAATCTGCTTATTGTGTCGTCTACAAACTTTTCACTCCAGTCAACCTAAACAGGATTGACAGAACACTGTACGAAGGACAGCCATGTGAGTAATCAGTGTTCCGGAAAGGATTCAGCACAATGGACCACATCCACATGATAACAAGACTCCATCGATTTAAATAAGGCTTTTGAGTCAGTTGAGATCGAATCAGTCACGGAAGTCCTGGGCAGTCAGGAAATCCCTGTAAAGATTCCTCCTGACGTGGATAAAAATTTCACAACCAAGATATCACAATTCCATTCATACAACGTTATTGGCATCCACGTCAAAAGAGCGGTTACAGGAGGCAATATCATCTCGCAAAGGTTATTTACCACCACCCTCGAGTACGTCATGCGAACAATGGAATGGGACAAAATGAGAGTGAAAATCGATGGTAGGTAATTACACCACCTTCGCTTTTGCTGATGACATCATCCTTATAACGTCAAAAATTAACCGAACGGAACAAACACCTTCTGGCTTTGATAAAGTTTGTGGAAGGATTGGTCTTCGACTAAATCTCAGAAAAACGATGTTCATGAAAAACTGATTCGTTTCGCTTCTCTCAATCATGCTCAACGGTGCTAATATCTCCGGATACTCTAGCTACATCTATCTAGGTTGTGAAATCAGCATTATGAACGACTTAGTTCCAAAGTTCAGCTGAGGGAAACAAGCGGCTTGGTGAGATTTCAGGAGCATCGAGGATGTAGTGAAGGGAAGGAACGCCCGACTCTGTGTCCACCTTTGCGACACCACAATACTTCCTGCCTTACCATAGTGCGCCAAAAGCCTGGTCGATGTGTAGCCAGAATGAAGGTCACTCAGCGTTATCGAACGGGTAGTCGAAAGGACGATGCTAGGAGTGTCCCTTATCACACAAATGAAGGAAAGGGTCCAAAGTTCAGCCCTGCATCCTCGACCAAAAATCAAAGAATACCGTTCTATTCGACAAACTGTGGACGGTAAGATGGGCCGGACAAGTAATGCCGTTTAACGATAAACAATGGACAAGAGCCGTTAGTGGCTGGGTTCCTCAATGTTTCAAACGTATTGCAGGAAGACCACCGACTCGATGGTCAAAGTTCTTTACGAAAAGCTTGGAAAAAACTTATGATCTTCAACGAGTCGCTAGAGCAAGCAGAACCCACTGGGTTGCTCTTGCACGTGACAGGAAAAATGGAAAATTTACTGCAGCCCGCTAGAGTCACTCGACGATCAACAGGACGATAGGTGATATCCATAGCGAAAAATATATGAGCCGCTGATATAATAAGAAGAACAGACGACAAATGGACGAAAAGAACGATAAAGTCGATTCCATGAGGATGTTGGTATCCTCTAGGACGGCCATCTACACGTTGAGCGTACACGTTCGTAAGTAATGTCAATCAGCTGTACTTGCAGCTTCAGTTGTTTTGGAGATCATGCCCACCATAGTCAAATTAAATCACCACCATGGACGACGACTGCTAAGCAGAGAAACAAATGGAATATGTGATGTGGTCCGCAAAACGTGAAAACGGACCGTCCAAGAATCCAACCAGGGTACATGCATAACATACGCGTATATATATATATATATATATATATATATATGCACATATATACAATATATGTGTATACATACATATACTTCGATACAAAGCATTTTACTCAACCTAACATTTTAAGCCTCTGCCGAACATATTGTTCACGAAGGTTACGATCACCTAAAAGTGGTTTGTCCACATTGAAAGGCACTTTTTTTTGCAAGAAAGTGTACTTTACTTTGGACACATAGTGAGTTATAATAAAAAGCACTTAGAACGTTCTCTTTTAAAAGATAACTACCAAATAACGCAGGAACCTTTTAAGTAATACATCTGTGCATTACATACACTGCCAAACTCAACCTAATGCAATAGAAAAATCGAAAGCCAGTACATAACAGCATGAACTACTTGGACGACGCGACACCTAATGTTTGTTAGAATTGGAAGCAATTCGAAGGTCCCTTATTATCGGAACGAAATCAAAACAAAGTGGATGGAATTTGAGGTATATTGATTAACACAAAGAATTACAATTCTGCTTTCTAAAGACAGACAGAAGGACTTCGAATCTACTTTTGCAAATAACTATTCATTGAATTTAAATATTGTTCTGCTCTAAACTCTACTTCTTGAAGAAATTAAAGTATACGCAGAAGCGACGAATTCATTTAGCCCTTCTTTGCACAAGCTATAGTCCCGCCGTGCTTTGCTGTCTTGCTGTAGTTGGCGAAGGGAGAACAACAGCATTGACTGACTGATGAACTTCACAAACTGTGAGACAGAAACATGTTCACTTTAAGCCCGTGCCACGAAGAAATTAATGCAGTGAACCACGAAACTACTGGTGAAAACAAACCATTCATGCAGTAATGTATCAGTAACAATGCCCCATAAATCGGCGATTCAACCGATAAGAAACGATTTGGCTGGCCATTCAACCGGATCAGAACAACACATCCAATCATGGACCCTTTTTCCTACTTTGCATTAACAACACCAAAACGAAGCTACTTTAAACCCTTTTCAAAGCTAGAGATCAAATAAAATTTTACATTATCAAGCGCAAAAAAACTCACGTACGGCCAATTAAACGATGGAACCACTACTACCCATAAGGAGAGTATCTCCTCAATAAATATTAGTAGCATAAACTTTGTAGTCCCCGTATCCGCTACCTCCGACGTAGACTTACATAGAGCTTATTACCGAAACCCTATTACCTCGCTTGGCTATTCTTCGTCTTCAAAGTTCCACATCACAAAAACACCACTGATCAATCGCTACTCATCGAAATGAAACTAA